TGTGAGTGTGTGAAATGTATTTATTCTACCTTCATATCTAATTTAACATTTGGTTTGGGGTAGAATTTAGGAATTAAAATAAAATTTTTAAAAATATTTTTATTGATTTCAGAGAGAAAGGGAGACATAGAAACATCAATGATGAGGCAGAAGCATACATCTGCTGCCTCCTGCACGTCCCACACTGGGGATGGAACCCAAAACCTGGGCATGTGCCCTGACCAGGAATCGAACTGTGACCTTCTGGTTCATAGGTCGATGCTCAACCACTGAGCCATGCTGGCCAGGTGGAATTAAAATAATTATGTGCTGCAGTTTTTAAAAAGTGAGGTGGTGGCTTGCAGAAATACTGGTACACGGAGTTAATCCTTTCCTCAAATGGGTACTTTATTCTCAAGGCACATTTAGTTGTTCAGCTCTAGTGTGGTTACTGATAACGCTAATGTTCCTCTCCGGCAGTGTTCCTGCTGTTTACTCACATATGCCCTTTCCCCACGCAGATCCGGCGGAGGCGCCTGGCTCGACTTGCTGGTGGACAGACCTCCCAACCGACCACCCCGCTCACCTCTCCCCAGAGGGAGAACCCTCCGGGGCCCCCTATAGCGGCATCAGCCCCCGGCCCCTCCCAGAGTCTTGGTCTCAATGTCCACAACATGACCCCAGCTACCTCCCCAATAGGTGCATCAGGTAAGCCTCTCTTCATACCTGGGTGTGCTTATCATTCTAATCGTAGCCTTTTATTCACTTATAGTTTTGACATTTCCACAACAGGGTACAATCAGTTGGACAGCAACTGTTTAAAATCCTGCAAGCCATAGTTTAGAATGTGAGATTATTACAGCATGCTTTGTTGATGTCTACTCATTTTGATAGTGATCTGTTAAAACTAACTGTTTTCCTTTCCATAACTTACCATTTTTTTCCGAACAGGGTCAGGTCTTGTCTTTGATGGCAAAGTGATTAAGACTATATTTGGTTCTGCTGATTTGATGAGTTTGGTTGATGCTTTTAAGACAAATCATCTGAAAATATGAGATTGAAATAATGGTCAAAGTAACAAGCCTCTAATTACAGATTTCCTTGTTTACATTGGCATAGAATGCTTTCTCTGAATTTTCAGGGTGTAAAAGTTTACCTGGTATGTTTTAGGACTATTTTATTGACAATTACTTAGCTAACAAAAGGTTTCTTTCTTTCTTCCCTTTTTTTTTTTTTTTTTTTGGTAATATATTTTTATTGATTTCAGAGAGGAAGGGAGAGGGAGAGAGAGATAGAAACATCAATGATGAGAATCATTGATCGGCTGCCTCCTGCATGCCCCCTACTGGGGATTGAGCCTGCTGCTTGGGCATATGCCATTGATCAGAATTGAATCTGGGACCCTTCTGTCCTCAGGCTGATGCTCTATCCAGAGACAAACCAGTTAGGGCAAGGTTTATTTCTTTATAATTAATGAGTTCAGGTTGATATCTAGGAGTATCTTTGTTGGGAAACGATGATAGTGACTCATACTGAATATTTGAAAATATCTGTCCTTTCTCTAAATGAACATTTCTATCAAACATAATTATTACCAGTGTAGTAATTATTATAATTATTTAAGATCCTAATTATGAGAAAGCAGGTGCTAAGAGATCTGTATTGATTATCATATCATCTAATAATTGAACATGGAGTTTTTAGGTCTGTAGTCATTTAATGCACTCTGCCTTAGTTCCCTCTGAATAACCTGTCTTGTTTAGGTTGACTAGTCAATTAAAAGTGTTTTACCGCCCTAGCTGGTTTGGCTCAGTGGATAGAGCATCGGCCTGCAGACTGAATAGTTCGGGTTCAATTCCAGTCAAGGGCACATGCCCAGGTTGCGGGCTCAATCCCCAGTAGGGGGCATGCAGGAGGCAGCTGATCAATAATTCTCTCTCATCATTGATGTTTCTGTCTCTCTCCCTCTCCCTTCCTCTCTGAAATCAATAAAAATATATTTTAAAATATAATAAACGTGTTTTACAGAGTTTCTGTTGTAGACATCATTGTAGCCTCCTCCATATGTAAAAATAAATGCTTAGACATCATTAGAAAAGTGAGAGCAGTTCAGGCCAAATCATCAGTTAGTAATCAACAGTGCCTTTGCCTGCAGTGTCTCCTCTGTACACTCCGAGAAGCTGTGCTGGGCCTCTGGTAGGGGAAGGGTTCGGGATTCCGGTTGTGTTTTACCTTTTCCTTGGAGACAGCGCTCCTTGTCTCACCATGGTTGCCATCCCCCCACCCCCAGTCCTGTTTCCTCCTCGTGCCCCTCCCCCCAGGAATGCTAGAAACTGTCCAGGGAGAACTGGTTTGATGGGGAGTCTCACTGCATCAGGAAAGGTCAGGCAGGAGACCCAGAACTCTGTGCTCCTGGCAGGCCCCTCAGCACTCCTGGGCGCAGCACGCTGTCTGTTTGGGACCAGCAGCGCTCACCCCAGCATGCCCCTGTGCAGTGAACAAAGCTAGAGAAAAGCCCAGACCGTGCCGCCTGTCTCATTTCAGATTCATGACCACAAACCAAGTGGACCCTTAACAGTGCAGGCAGTTATATTTCCTGGTTTCCTTCCCCACTCTGCTAATTATTCCTTACCTTCTGCAGTCTGCGGCCTCATTCTCCACGCGCACTCTCAGCTGATGGCCCGCCTTCCTATTCGTGGAGAAAACATGCGGCAGAAAGGACCTCCTGAAGGGCTCGCACTGCTCCCCCTCGTTGTAGGCCCACCCTAGGTCCCAGCTCCTCCCACCTGCTCAGAGCCCTTGCCCAGCAGTCCCATTTTTCCTGCTCAAGTAAAAAACTTTTGTTTTTTAGTAGCCATTTACATTCTGTTCCTTCTCCCATCATGGGAATAAATAAAAAGGAACTCTTGCCCTGGCCAGGTGGCTCAGTTGGTTGGCATGTCGTCCCATACACCGACAGATTGCAGGTTCGATTCCACGTCAGGGCACATGCCTACGTTGCAGGTTTAGTTTCCTGTTGGGTGATGTTTCTCTCTCCCTTCTTCTCTTTAAAAATCAATAAACATATCCTCTGGGAGGATTAAAAAAAAGGGGGAACTCCTGATCTCATTTGCCCTGCGGGCTTCCACCCACATCTCTGCACCCATTGACAACAGAACTTCGGGACGAGTTGCCTGTGCTCACTCTCCTCTCTCTGCCCTCACACCCTCTGCTGAATCGATCCCTCAGCTGAGGCCCGTGGTCTCTGAGTCACCATCTCATCTTACCTGTCAGCTTCACTTGGCCTGGCTTTACCCTCTTTTCCTGAAGTGCTTTCCTCTCTTACCTTCTAGAACAGCGGTCACCAACTGATGGTCTGTGGACCACTGATGGTCCGTGAGGTCCGAAAGGTTGGCGACCGCTGTTCTAGACCCCCACACTCCTGGTTTCCTCCTGCCTCTGTTCTTCCTGGTTCTCTGCATGGCTCTTGATTTCTCTGCGTTCTGAATGTGAGGGTGCCCAGGACTCAATAGTTAAGCTCTCATGCTCTCCTGTGTTTATTCTCTTATTGATTTATCTGGCTTCTTGGCTTTACTGTCTCTAATCTGATGACTCCAGCCCAGACCTGTTCCTGGAGCCTCAGACTCAAACATCATCCAATACGCATCTCACAGTTGACACGTCCACAGTCGAGCTCCTGATGCTTCCTCGCATGCCATCCTCCCCCAGGACCCCGTCCCTATAAATGACAACTCTTCTTTTCCTGCTTGCTTAAGCCTAAGCATTTTCTCCTCTGTTTACCTCATATTCTAGTTGCGGGTCATGAAAACTCTTTCTGTAAAGGGCAGGCAGTAAATAACTTAGGCTTTGAAGGCTGTGCAGTCTCTGCCACAGCTGTTCTCCACCCCTGTGGCACAATCGCTGGCACAGACGATAATGTAAATGAAGGAGTGTGGCTATGTTCCAATAAAGCTTTATTCAGTGGGTCAGATGTGGCCCTCGGACTAGATTCCTGGCCCCTACTCCAGGTCTATCAGCAAAATAGAACCTGACCAGATTCTCACAACTCACCTCACCTGTCCTGCTGCCACCCAGGTCCGAGGCACCTGCACATCCTGCCTGGATGCTGGGGGGCCTCCTCGCTGGTCTCGCCAGGCCCTCCCTGGCCTCAGTGTGGAGCCAGTGAGTCCCTCTAAAGCAGCGGTTCCCAACCTGTGGGTCGCGACCCTTTGGGGGTCGAATGATCCTTTCACAGGGGTCGCCTAAGACCATTGGAAAACACATATATAATTACATATTGTTTTTGTGATTAATCACTATGCTTTAATTATGTTCAATTTGTAACAATGAAATTGGGGGTCACCACAACATGAGGAACTGTATTAAGGGTCGCGGCATTAGGAAGGTTGAGAACCACTGCTCTAAAGCATAATTACCAGGTCATACAACAGCTGTCAGTTTTACAGCAAGCTCATTCCGATGCCCACACTCACGTACAGAAAGATGAGGACAGCTCTTAGTTCTTGGCAGTGCCTCTGTGCTGTGAAGTCCTAATTGTGTTTTTTGAATAGTCGCTATTATTCCTAATCACATGCAGGTAGATATTATTGGCCATGTCCTTGGCAGACTGGAGAAACAAATTTACATGAATTTATTAAATAAACAAGTAAGAAGACAATCCCCTCATAAAAAGGTCACATCAGTTCAAAACCCTGCTCTGGCTCCCTGCCTTCCCTGAGTGAACGTCAGTCTTCCCCGACCAGGGCTATGTGTGGCCTGACCCTGCTGCCGCTCCGACCTCCACTCTCACCGCTCTTTTTACTTCTTCTGCTCCGGCCATGCTGGCTTCCCTGCGGTTCTGGAACATTCCAGGCGTGATCCCTACTTGGGCCTTTATATTTTCTGTTTCTGTGCCTAGAATGCTCATGCCCTAAAATCCACAGGCTTTTTTGCTTAACTCTCCAGATGCTTATTTGTCACCTTCTCAATAACATCTTCTTTGGCCTCCCTGTCTAAAACCACAACCTCTATCCTACACAGATCGTTTTTCTTGGGCGGATGTGGCACATATGCTACCTGCATGTCCTGTTTTCTCTGCCTTCCCTCCTAGAGTGTAAGCTCCGTGGGGCGCAGGCTCTGTCCCCGGTGCCTTTAACAGTGGTAGCACATGATGGGCACCGAATAAAAGATCTGCTGAATTAATCACAAGAGGAAGTGACCAAAATAACATCAGCATGTGTAACTCAAGCCTGGCCGGTGTGGCTCAGTGGTTGATGGCACATGCCCAGGTTGTGGGCTTGATCCCCAGGGGGCATGTGCAGGAGGCAGCTGATCAGTGATTCTCTCTCATCATTGATATTTCTATCTCTCTTTCCTTCTCCTTTCCTCTACCTCTAAAAACAATTGAAAAAAACATTTTTAAAAAATCTCAAGAGGATAAAATAGTGTGTGTGTGTATGAGAGAGAGAGAGAGAGAGAGAGAGAGAGAGAGAGAGAGAGAGAGAAATACTGGAACAGAGCTAGTGTCGCAGCTTAACTATAGGCATTTGGTTTGGTTTATACCCGAAAGGGAATATCATTCAGGAAATACTTCAATGCTAGGAGCAAAATCTTACAAAAATAAAACCCCATTAAATAAAAAATCTAGCCTTCCCACACAGAATGCATAATTTACCTTTAACAAGATCCTAGTCACCATAGCAGTTTGGGAAGCTGCCATTTTGAAAGTCGTAATTCATATTTTATTGAGCAGACATGGCTCTCTCCGCTCTTTGTTATACACACCCTCACTCTTTAAAATTTGGTACGTAGGGATTTTACTCATCTTCTAAAGGAGGATCAGAGGTGTTGCCTGTGTTTTAATTCTCTAATGTCTGGTTTTATGGACATGAAGGGAGCGCTATCTATGCCTTAAAGCTTGGCCTCCTGACAGTGAGTTCTCAAGTTAGGGGTGGGAGCGGGTGAAGACAGACGCATGTGTGTGTGGTTTGAGAACAACGCGGTATTTTGTACAAGTGCTTTGATTGGTTGTTACTCATGATATTGAATTCATATTGATTCTAAATAAAATCAGACCATCTGATTTTTAAGTTTCAGAAAGGAGTGGGGTCATGTGGTTGTACAGATGGAGGAACTAGTAAACATAGTTAATTCTGGGAGAATTGCCCCACTTGACCCAGAACGTGAGGCTCACATGGCGAGTTCAGGAGGATGCAGATGATCTCCTGGCTGTCTTATAGAAACATTGGTATGCAGTCCATTAGCGGGGTGGAATACTCTGGCACTGTACTGTATGGGCTGTTGTACACAGAGTATAGTTATGGAATGTGATCTTACAAATACAGGTTTTCAGACAGCGTACTGTCATTACCAGTTTATTCTAAGCCTGGTTTTATCAGGTAGGCTTTTTAAATCTGCTGAACTGCTGTCCCATAAAAATTGTTGAGCTTTATTATTGATTCATTTTTATTAAAAAATTGTCAGACCTTCCACTGTGGTAGGTAAACTAGTGTTCTCCTAAGGACATTATTGGTGCTCTATTATCTAGTCCTTCAGTAAATATTTACTGAGAACTTACTTTGCATTACCCTTCTTGAATTAATGAATTTAAAGTTTTGCTGTCTTCCACGAGCTTCTCAGAATTCTCACTACATTAGATGTTTTCCATATTTCCCTTGAGTCTACTTAGGAACACTGACAATTTCATTTCTCTTTTCCTTCATGAGTCCTGCAGAAGTTTTAATAAACAGGTATATGTTAATACCTGCTATCAGGAGCGGATAAATGTTTTGTAACATTCTTCAATGGAGAGACATTAAAGGGTGCCAACTTTACTTTTTTTTTTTTTTCCAACTTTACTTTCTTGGAATGCTGGGATGGTTAAAATGTTATCCACTTGGTAGTTGTTTCAGCTACAACTGGTAACTCAAGTTGTTTTTGAAAAAATGTAAGTCTCATTTTCCTTTCACCACAATAGGTATATGCAGGGTGTTCCAAAAATGTATATACACGTTGAATACCACTATTAATCCCAATGGGTTACATCTGAAGAGAAAGAAACATCAGTTGGAGGTGTCAGCTGTTAAACTGTGTATACATTTTTTGAAACACCCTGTATTTTGTATTTTTTATGCCCTCTATTTTTAAAAGTACTTGCAGATGTCTGGATATTCATAGAGTTAAAGTACTTTTTAAAATTCTATGAAAACCTGCCTTTAAAGACATCGATGAGAAATCTGTCCCCGCTCGTGCTGCGGCTCACGCCTCTGGAAGCTCTGTGAGGCAGGACAGCGTCAGTTACTCCCTTACCCCGGCTGCCAGGGAGAAGATGTTCACTCAGTAAGTGCACTGACCTGTATTTAGCAATAGCTCAGATGGGTCTATGTGTGTGCTTTCAACATTTTATTATGACAAGTTTATGCCTACAGCAGATTTGAAAGAATCTTGTAATGAACACCTATATACCCACCATCTGGATCCTTCCATTAACATTTTAGTATATTTGCTTGATCACACCTCTCCCTCTACATGTCTCTATAGCCCTTCATTAATGTATCTTATTCTTGGTACATTTCAAGGGTTTTCCTGGCCTGTGATGGAAGCTAATTTGTATTCCAGTATCATAGTTTAAATTGGTGAAAAAGAAGGTGATGAGGAATCAGTTTTAGATATTAGATACAGCTGTGTTACTGACCTCATACGATGTATATTGATAAGTTATGACTAATTGTTAATGTTCCTATGATTTTAATATTACTTTTGCATTTAGTGTAATCTTTTATTAGAAACTAGAGGCCCGATGCACAAAATATGTGCAAGGGGCTCGGCCCTCGCAGCCCCGGCGGCTGCCCTGGCTTCATCCAGAAGGTCATCCAGATGGTCATTGGACTGTTTGGTCGATTTGCATATTACCCTTTTATTATTATAGATTCTTCAATTGCTGACTGTCACAATGGTATGAATACCAATTGTGTATATTTACTGTTGTCATTACAAATGGTTTTACTGTTACTTCATGTGAGACTTACTCTTTCATGTCTTTTTCTGCCTAGGAGTAGCCCATCGAAGCCAGAGCAGTGAAGGAGTCAGTTCTCTCAGCAGCTCGCCCTCCAATAGCCTTGAAACGCAATCGCAGTCTCTCTCACGTTCCCAGAGCATGGATATAGATGGTGTCTCTTGTGAGAAAAGGTAAAGTAAGCTGATTTCCCAATAGAGTGTATTGATGGAAAGAGAAAGATCCATTCAATTTAGTCTCTAGTCATTAGTCTCAGGTGCCAGCCCAGAGATCCATGCCAGTCCATAGCAAATTAGAGCTAAATTTATTAAACTTAAATGTCTTTGTATTATTCTGAAGTGTTCTTTATACCTTTTTATGTTTTTGGTGTTGAAATGTCTTTTGTGAAATAATGGTGTAGGTGGTAAGAAATGTTTTTAGTTTTTTAATGTCTTTATAAACACAAAGGTGGCATCATCTGTCAGTCCCTAAATATTTCTTTGACATTTTATTCATCAGTGAACATTTAAAATGTGGATGGAGCTCAGTAAGTGGACTGATCCAGCTGAGCCAAACAGTCTATGAGCTCTATAAGGATCAGGGTGTCCTGGAGCAGAACCTTCCTGTGCTCCAAGTGCACATGACTAGGTGATAGAGTGGCTGAGGTGCTTATTTCTTTATTCCATGGGCCAGTCAGACACCCCAACTCCCAGACCCATTCCACTGCCCTAAGCTGCCCCCTCTGTTTATGTCAGCAGGCCCAACAAATATTATCTTCTCTGTGTGTTATGATATGAAAAAGGTTGAGAAGTACTAGAATAGAGCTTTGGTAGTTGGGAGGGGTTGGGGGTGAGGAACCAGATCAGAGACCACACACATTAGGCAAGAATTCAGGAAGGTCGACACTCTCAGGGAAAAGATCAACTTAACCCCATAGAGTAAAAACAATTTTGTTCTTATTACCTTTGCTTTGAATACATGTATTTTCTTTTTTTAAATATATTTTTATTGATTTTAGAGAGGAAGGGAGAGGAAGAGAGACAGAACCATCAATGATGAAAGAGAATCATTGATCAGCTGCCTCCTGCATGCCTCCCCTGGAGACAGCCTACAACCCGGCCATGTGCCCTGACAGAGAATGATAGGCCGATGCTCAACCACTGAGCCACACCAACTGGGAATACATGGACTTTTTTTTTTTTGTTAATCAAGTCAACTCTGTGATTTCATGGCTAATAGGTAACTTTCATCTGGGTTTAGCACCTAGATTCACACTATTGGTATAGTCTAAAAAACCTCAAGCTAAGAATTGTCATATACAGTGAAGCAAGGCATCTAACAGAAGAAAACACAAAGCATCATGTCTTCAGAGAATTTCCTTAGAAAAATTTCCAAGTAATATTAGCTCATGGTCAAAAATCACAAAGCACAGCAGAAAACAGCCAGTATGACTAACAGCCAACAGATTAGTAACAACAGTTATTTCACCTAGAGATTTTAGGGTTTTGGAATTATCAGGTACAGAATATAAAATATGTATATTTAAATAAATTAAAAAAGGAATTGAAAACATAAGGGGCAGGTGACTGTAAAAACAACCAAGCACATTTGTAAAGAACCAAATACAATTTTTAGAAAGGAAAAGATAATTCAAATTGAAACGAGTTAAACAAAGGATTAGACATAGCTAAAGAGAGAATTAACAGATGGAATGATAGAGCTGAAGAAATTACCCAGAGTACACCACAAAGAGAGAAAGTGATGAAAAATATGAAAGATGGAGATGTAGAATACACAGATTCAATATATATTTAATAGAAACATTAAAAGGAGAGGAGAGAGACTTGAAGAGATTCCCCACGCTTCTCCTTATTAGACATTTTTTTCTCTACTGGTTTGGAAGCCATTATCAAAAAATAAATGGCTGAAATATAAAATAATATTGAATGTCAATTATAATTTTTTTAAAAAAAGATAAATGGTTGAGAATTTCTCTAGAGTTGATAAATGATATGAATCTCCAGATTCAGGAAGCCCAGCAACTCGCAAACAGGTTAAACAAAAAGCAATTTCTATCTAGACATCTCTTAATAAAATTGCAGAATACCAAAGACCTATAAATAGTCAGAAAAGAGATTCTCTACAAAAAAAACAACTATTAGATGTCTCAAAGATGGAAGCCAGAGGATGTTGGAGTAATAGCATTGAATGCTGACAGGAAGTCTACTGGAAATTGTGTACCTTTGTGGAACGATCTTTTAAGAGCAAGGGTGAAATAAAGACATTAATAGATTAAAAACACAATCTGATAACCTGCCACTAAAAGACCCCCAACTTTTTTTTAAATATATTTTTATTGATTTCAGAGAGGAAGGGAGAGGGAAAGAGAGATAGAAACATCACTGATGAGAGAGAACCATTGATTGGCTGCCTCCTGCACACCCCCTACTGAGGATTGAGCCTGCAACCGCAACTGGGGCATATGCCCTTGACTGGAATCCAACACGGGACCCTTCAGTCCACAGGCCGATGCTCTATCCACTAAGCCAAACCAGCTAGGGCCCCCTGACTTTTTTAACAGATATAGTTAAGAAAGAAAATGATCTCAGGAATAATGTGTGACATGCAAGAAGGAAGAGTGAGTGAAGAAAATAATAAACACTGATGGTATAAAGCAATAACAACAGTGTAGAAAAATCAGATAGGTCTAACATTTAGCTGGCCAGCAGTAGCAGGTTAGCCGTAAGGGGCGTTTCGGGGGTTCGTTGACCCAAGCAAGATCTAAAGTCCTTTTATACTTGAGAAGGGGTAAAGGTACTGGCCAACTTTTTTTTTTTTTTTAAGATACTGGCCAACTTTTAGATTTTGAGTTAAGAATACTTGATTAAATTTCAAGGGTAGCCACTAATAGCATGGAAATAGAGTATATCTTCCAAACCAGTAAAAGGGAAGTATGGAACCATAGTGAGGAGGTGGGAGGGTGGAGTTAAGTCAATTCAAAGAAAGGGAAGGAAGAAACAAATTTCTAAAAAGAGACAAATAGCACAAAATAAGCTGGTCAAAAAAAATGAAAATATGTTAGCAATTACAGTAAATCACAGTGAAAAGGAATAGGTTGTATTGAAAACAAAACAGAACCCAGCTTTATCCTTGTTTATAAAAGGGATATCTGAAAGATTAGGTTAGAGAAGTAAGGTCAAGAGTAAAAAAGACCATAAAAGGTATACCAGGCAAACGAAAAAAGTAAACAAAAGAAACTTGGGTAAGCATATTAACGAAGTAGACTTTAAGGCACAAAGTATTACTAGACGTTAGCACTATATAACGACACAAGTTTTGTTTACCTGTAGGATTTAACAGTTCTGAAAGTCTTTGTACTTAGTAATATAACAGCAATATGCAATAAAGCCAATATTGACAGAACTAGAAGAAATTGACACAGTCATAGTGGGAGTGTTTTAACAATAGATCATTTATCAATAGATTAAAGAGAATAAATATGAATAAGCATATGGGCAAATTAAACAACGCAGCTGGCAAGCTTGATCCAGTGGAAAGATACAGAACTTTGTCCTGTACAGTTGGAGAATACACATTGCTTTCCTAATACTCACTGACCAAAAAGTTTCAACAGTCAGAATCGTACATGTTTTCTCACTAGTATTAGGTTTGATAATTAATAGGGGGGGGGAAGTTATTTATTTTATAAATATATTTTTATTGATTTCAGAGAGGACGGGAGAGAGAGAGAAACATCAATGATGAAATAAATTCATTGATCAACCGCCTCCTGCATGCCCCCTACCGGGGATCAAGCCCGCAACCTGGGCATGTACCCTTGACTAGAATTGAACCCAGGACCCTTACATCTGCAGGCCGACCCTCTATCCACTGAGCCAAACCAGCTAGGGCAAAAAAACTTTTTTAAAAAAACCTTAAGACATTTGTAAATTTTAGAAATGGAGTATGCTTCTATATAAAGGTTAAAGAAAATATCATAATGGAAGTTTGAAAGTATGTGGGACTGAACAGTAACAAATATTATGAATCATGATCTGCGTGTTGCAGCTAGAGTGGTCCTTAGAAGAAAATAAAGCTATAATATATTAAAAAGGAAAAAAGAATACAAGGAAATATTGGGACTAAGAACCCGTTGGTTGGAATGCTCTTCCCCTGGGCATGAATGGGTAACCGCCTTCATATTGTTGCTCATCTGGCATTTCTCAGTGAGGCTCACCCCACTTCAAGCAGAAAGCCCTGCACTCTCAGTTGCCTTTTCCCTGTTCTTTTTTTTTTTTTTTTTTTTTTTTTTTTTTTTTTTTTTTCCCTGTTCTTTTTTATTTAAATTTTCTATAGCACTCACTATACTATGTGCTTTGCTTATTTATGTTTATTGTTTATTCTCTCTTTTTTTTAATTTTTTTTTTTTTTAATTGATTTCAGAGAGGAAGGGAGAGGGTGAGGGAGAGAGATAGAATCATCAATGATGAGAGAGAATCATTGATCAGCTGCTTCCTGCACATACCCTACTGGGGATTGAGCCCGTAAACCCAGGCATGTGTCCTGACCAGGAAATGAACTGTGACCTCCTGGTTCATAGGTCGACGCTCAACCACTGAGCCACCAAGAGGCCAGGCTGTTTATTCTCTTTCTATCTCTAGATGGAATGTATGCTCCATGACACAGTGATTTATTTATTTATTTATTTATTTTTATCTTTTTTGTTCACTGACATTTCAGACACCTAGCACAAGCCCTACATAGAATGGGCGCTCAGTAATATTTGTTATTGAAAGGTGTCCATGAAAAGTGTAAATATGCAAATGCAAATAAATTTGAAAAGTTGGATGAAAATCAAATTCCTAGAAAAACATATTTCTCCCAAAATTGAATCAAGAAGACCTGAATAATAATAAAAAACACATGAAATAAATTGAATCAGTATTTTAAAAATTTTCAACGAAAGAACCTTGCTCATATAATTTTATAGGTTAATGTGATATGATATAGTACAATATAATATGATCAACTTCAGTTTATGTCAGAAATCCAAGGGTGCTTTAACATTAGAAAATTTATCAATATTATTCACCATATTATAAAAGAGAAAAACCATTGCAAATTTTGCTAAACTTCAACAGATGATGATAAAAATTTTAACAAACGGTACAGAAAGGTGCGTCCTTAAACCGACAATAGCAGAGATAGAGTTAACAAAATAATCATACCTTCCCCTGCATCTCCAGGCTCCATTGCAGCTAGATTGGGGTGAAGTGACTAGTTCTGTCCCATAGACTGTGAGTGGAAGTGACATGTGTCACTTTTAGGAAAGGCAGTTGAGCCGATGTTCCTCCTCCGTCCCTCTCTTCTCTTGCTCCAGTGACCTGGGAGGCTGAGTATTGCAGATGGCATAGATTAAAGATGAAGTCAGGATGCTTCACTCTCACCAGACTTTGCGTAAGCAAGAAATAAACCCTTATAGTGTTAAGCCTCTAAGATTTCAGAGTATATGTGTTACCACAGCAGAGCCTATCTTATTCTGACTAATATAAAGAACATCTACCAGAAAACTACAGCACTCTCATTTTCAGTGGTGAGGAGTTAGAAACTCTCTTTAGAATCAGTAATAAGAACAAGAATGGCTGTTATTTCTGCTTCTCTTCACCATGGGGATCCTACCCCGTGCAGTGAACAAGTAGGGATTGGAGTGGAAGAAACAAAACACTTATTGTTCAAAGATAAAATGATTACCTAGTGAGCCCTGTGTATAAGTAAAGTTGCTTAAAATAGATCTGTGTCCAAAATCAGTTTACATTACTGTGTACTAGCAGCAACCAAAAATTAGAAAACTTAATTTTTAAAAAGGTACCATTCATAATTTCATTTAAAAATATATGGTACATAGGTATAAATTGAGCGAAAGAAGTGAAAGACTTGTGGAGAAAATTATAAAAGTTTATCAAAAGACCTTAATGAAAGCCTAAATACTTGGAGAGAGATACCATGGGTAGACTCAGTAACATAACGATGCCATTTCTCCTCACTTTGATCTCTGGAGTCAGTGAAATTAGTCAAAATCCCAGCAGAATATTTTTTTTAAATATATTTTATTGATTTTTTACAGAGAGGAAGGGAGAGGGATAGAGAGTCAGAAACATCGATGAGAGAGAGAAACATCGATCAGCTGCCTCCTGCACACCTCCCACTGGGGATGTGCCCGCAACCAAGGTACATGCCTTTGATCGGAATCGAACCTGGGACCTTACAGTCCGCAGGCCGATGCTCCATCCACTGAGCCAAACCAGTTAGGGCCCAGCAGAATATTTAAGGAACCTGGCAAGCTAATTCTTAGTTCTGTATGCAAAAGCAAAGGGTCAAGAATGGCCAAGACGCTCCTAAAGTAGAAGAACCAGGTGGAGGCATTGACCCAGCAGGGATCGAGACTTAGTGTGAAGTTTTAGTAAGACAGCGTGGTGTTGGCTCAGGGACAAACAGCTTGTCCAATGGAACAGAAACCAGTGTCCAGAAAGAACCACACATATACTATATAATGGGACATATGAATAGGTGACTTCATATTAGTGTAAAAATGATGGTCTTGTCAATAGATGGTCCTGGGACACTTATTTATTTAATGTGGGGGAAAATACTATATGTTCTCAACTAGATTTTATAATCAGGCTCTGAATGATTGTATATAGCTTACCATAATATGTATAGAAAATATGCTCTAACTATTTTTTTGAAAGTGAGCCTAAGAAAATGACAACTTGGGAAAAATATTAAAATTATGATAGAATGTTTCTATCTTAATATATGAAGAGAGCTCTTTAAGGAATTAATAGAAAAAAAAGGATGAACCTTTATTATTTCGCTTTCCTGACTGATTTTGATTGATATTTAAAAACTTCCTCAGCCAGAGGCTGGGACATTGGGTGGATTTATGAAAGGTAAAAGACTTATTTGTCTTTTGTACTTAAAGCATGTCCCAGGTGGATGTGGATTCAGGAATTGAAAACATGGAAGTTGATGAAAATGATCGAAGAGAAAAAAGGAGCCTCAGCGACAAGGTTGGTAAGAGGAAGCCTTGCTTCTGTTTTAGTACAGGTGACATGACACAGGGAAGCAGCGCTCACGTCTTGTATCTGCGGAGTCTGTTAAGAGTGGCCACCCAATCAGCAGGTCCTGGTCAGGTGATTGGTTTTTATTTTGAGGAAAAATGGGTAGCCCAGCCTGCCCTTACTAATGGAAGTATAACTCAGTCTTTTAGAGAGGAAGGGAGAGGGAGAGAGAGAAACATCAATGATGAGAGAGAATCACTGATTGGCTGCCTCCTGCACTCCCCCATTGGGGATCAAACCCGCAGCCCAGGCATGTGCCCTGACCAGAATCGACCTTGACCTCCTAGTTCATAGGTCGGCATTCAACCACCGAGCCACGCCAGCTGGCCTAACTCAGTCCTTTTAACTGATAAAATTCTTCCCTTATCTTTGTTTCAGGCCCATGTTTCCAACAGGAAATTTGGTTTGTAATAGGAATTCATTCAGAGCTAATTTGAATGTTTTCTGTTGGTGTTTGGCTTAAGCAAGTAGATCAGTCATGTCTTTGGGACTATTCCAAGGAAAATGACTGGAAATTGAGACAGTATGTGGGACCCAGTAGCAAGAACAAACTTCTTGAAAACATGAAGTCTTCATATTTTGTTATCATCTGAGTTCAGTTTCTATATTTAGAAACAGGGTGTTGTGGGTTTTGCTATTTTTGGTGTGGTGTAGAGCTGGTATAGGTAATTGGGTCACTTTCTGTTCTGTAAGTTATTAGTGTTCAGCAACACGTGTTTAGAAGTTGGAGTGGAAGCAGTGTGGTGCTTTATTTTGTATAGTTCTTTAGTGTTATGAAAAGTGTAGCTCTAGAGTCACAGTAACAAGTTTATCTTTCTCTAAGTCAGTAGGTGACTAGTTCTATGCATTTCTGAAATGAATTAAGTCAGGATTAAGTATTTCTATGGAAGTCTAACTCGGACCTCCCACCACTTGAAATTAACCCCCAAATCTTCTTCCTCACAAGGAGCCGTCGTCGGGTTCTGAAGTATCTGAAGAGCAGGCCTTGCAGCTGGTCTGTAAGATCTTTCGTGTCTCCTGGAAGGACCGGGACAGAGATGTCATCTTTCTTTCTTCTCTTTCTGCACAATTTAAGCAGAACCCAAAAGAAGGTAGGACTCTAGCTCACCTGCCCTATTTCGGAGTCCTGTCCTTAAGGAAAAAGAGAATGTAAGGTCTTGTCCTTCCCTGCTATCCCGTCACTGTCCTGCTCTGGGTGGGGGTTTTGAGTACAGGGGTACTTCTTGGTCAGGGCACTGATGTATGGCCACTTTCCACTGATCTTAGCAATGCATTTCTTTTTTACTTTTGCAATTCTCTAAAAGAAAATTATATAAATAAGTTAGTGTCCATTGTCTCAGGGTTGACATTTTTTCCTTTGTAAAAAGAAGATGCTTAGAGCATTAGCACCTCTTACAAAGCAGGAGCATTCTGGGTAGTCTGCAGGGACCCTGAGAGAGGCGCTCCGATAGCCTGTACCTGCCTGCAGTGCCTCCCAGGTCCTTTGTAGACAGTGGAGTAAATCTGCTGAATTCAATTGCTTAGCAAGATTGGACATACTGATATTTTGCTGTGTTCCCAGTATTCTATTTTAAGAAGCTGCACAAACCACACTTACAACAAAGTAATAAAACTCAGCATGGCAGCCATTTGGAATACAGAAGAGGTAGGGGAGGTGGGCAAGGGTGTTCTTTGCACATCACAGCAATGCTGCTGGCAGGGATTTGTGTCTGGTTTGATCACTGATGCCTTCCCAGTGCCTCGAAGGGTGCCTTGCACTTAATCCCTCATTAGATGCATTTTATTTTATTTTCATTGATTTCAGAGAGGAAGGGAGAGGGATAGAAATATCAGTGATGAGAATCATTGATTGGCTGCTTCCTGCAAGTCCCACACTGGGGATCGAGCCCACGACCTGCGCATGTGCCCTGACCGGGAATCGAACCCATGGCCTCTTGGTTCCTGGGTTGACGCTCAACTGCTGAGCCACACCAGCTGGGCTCTAAGTTATAATTTTTAATAATCAAATCAGATAAGACTTGCCTGCATCAGAGCTGTTATTTATGTAGTGATGTTTAAAATGTATTTAAAGACCTACATACAGTGAAGCAGTTGGGAGTGCAGAGAGTGAGAAGGAAGCTAAGCAGTGGGAATCTGCTCCAAAGAGCCAGACGGTGACTACAAGTCAGACCCTTCATAAAATACTTTAAACTTTGTACTTGATAGTTTTACTGTGTATAAAACATATACAGGAGAAGAAATATTAACCCAGTTGATTTCTAGTGTGATAAACTAACCTCTAGTTGGGAGTAACTTTTTTACAGCTAATACATATCAGCAGTAATTCATTGACTGCACTCTAATAATTTTTTTTAATGAGGTTTGTATTTTGGAATAATTCTAGATTTCTAAAACAGTATTAGAGAGTATAGGGAGTTTCTGCATACACTTCACCCAGTTCCCCTAACGTTAACATCTTTCATAGCCACAGAAGACCTGTCCAAACTAAGACATTCCTATTAACTGCACTCCAGGCCTGATTTGGATTTCTCCAGTTCTCCACTAACATCTCTTTCCTGTTCCAGGGTCCAGTCCAGGCCGGGGCACCACCCTGCACCTCTCTGGTTCCCTTTGGCTTTTTCAAAGACTGTGTATTTAAAGAACCACGTGTAACCTCCCTTTTATTCTGCCTTTCCAACAGTGTTCTCTGATTTTAAGGACTTGATTGGCCAGATTTTAATGGAAGTGCTAATGATGTCCACTCAGACTAGAGATGAAAACCCGTTCGCCAGTCTGACAGCCACGTCACAGCCAATTGCCGCGGCAGCTCGGTCACCCGACAGAAATCTCACGCTAAATACTGGCTCGGTCCCCGGAACGAGTCCCATGTTCTGCGGTGTGGGTTCCTTCGGCGCCAGCTCTTTGTCTAGGTCAGTGCGGTTCTTTTTGCACAGTTAAGTGGTAGTAAAACGGCCACGAGCATGTAGGAGAAGGGAGCATTCTTTCGGGGACCTGTGCAGATTATAGCAAGTGTCATATTTGGGGGCTTGGATTTGGTCACTGCGGGAGGTGTTGTCCTTTTCAGGTTGGTCTCTTTGGCTTGTCTCTTTGGCTTTTGGTAAACTAAAATTTAGAAATAAAATTGTACATTATCCTTTGGCGAGAGGGCTTTAAAATAGAAGTATAACTTCTAGACCTTTACAGCAATTAGGCGATTCTTATTTAGGTATCTCAAAGATTCGGATACTTGAATGCTTAGAGATGGGAAGTGTGACTATACTGTTCTTTAAAAGCGTGATATTTTTTATTTTAATTCTTTATCTCAAGTTTTTCTTCCATTTTCTCTTCTTTCCTCCTCTTCTCACCTAATTCAGCCTCTATGAAACTAGCCCCGCCCCCAGCGCGAGCTTCTGGAGCTCTGTGCCGGCCATGAGCCTGCCCTTTGCCTCCCCCTCCGGGGCGGCCAGCCACGTGGCTGTACCTTCCATTTCCCTCAGTGCTCATGGCCCGGCCCCCGGGACTGCGGCGGGAAGCCAGCCGCCATCGCCATCGCTGCGGTATCGCCCCTACACTGTCACCCACCCCGGGGGCCCTTCAGCCTCTCCTGCCCCGAGGTCCCCAGGCCTCTCCCTTCCGTCTAGCTCCCCGAGCCTCCCCGCCCTCGCTAGTAGCCCTCAAGCCGTGCCGGCCAGCTCTTCCCGACAGAGGGCCGCCAGCACGGGGCCAGCCTTCCTGCCCGCCTCACCCAGTGCCCTGAGCAGACGCCCCTCCTCCCTCAGGACCTCTCCTAGGTATTTATTCAGCAGGAGAGCTGGCGGCGTGCGTGCAGTGCAGGGAAACAGGTTAACACGTTTGGAAGGACTGTTGTGTGGCACTGACTCCAGCTACATGGGTTTTCTGTTGGGGTTATTAACCGTGTGTCTAACTAGTTGGTAGGCTCTGCCCTGACTCCGTGCTTCTGCCCGGCTTTGGTAACAGAAAGCATGGGTGGCTCTGGTGTGGGCACCTTTGTTCCCTACCTTCCCCTCACCCTTTCTCTGTCCTGTAAAAAAAAAAAAAGTAAGGAAGAAAAAGTAACTTAGTTTTTAAAATTGAATTCACATGTCACTCCTCATTACAAGAATTTCAGAGACTGTAGGCAGTTGGTATTTGAGAGTTGGGGATCACAGAACCACTTTTTGACTTTCATACTGTTGACACTTGTAGTTGAAATATAGTCAGACCAAGCGGTGGTGGGGGCAGAGCTGGGCCTGGTGTCCCTTAGCTCTGGTCACTGGACGGGGCCAGCGTTCATGCCTTGATTCTGATTCCAGCTCATAGGCAGAGGTGGCCCCAGAGTTCCATTAGCCCAGTGCCCCTCTCACAGGCCCCTGTGCATCTCTGTGGCTCAGGTGAATCACTTTCCTGCATGTCAGTAGAGAAAACTTCCAGCATAAGCTTTAATTAATCGGACAGCAAAAGCTTTCTCCCTCGCCCTAACCGGTTTGGCTCAGTGGATAGAGAGTCGGCCTGCGGACTGAAAGGTCCCAGGTTCGATTCCGGTCAAGGGCATGTACCTTGGTTGTGGGCGCATCCCCAGTAGGAGGTGTGCAGGAGGCAGCTGATCGATGTGTCTCTCTCATCGATGTTTCTGACTCTCTATCCCTCTCCCTTCCTCTCTGTAAAAAATCAATAAAATATATTTTTAAAAAAAAAGCTTTCTTCCTCTTGTTTTTCCTCTGTTCCCTGATCACCTTTTTTGCTTTTGTTGTGGTAGTATGTACGACAGTCCTTTCTCCTTCCTCTTCCTCGCGCTTTCTGGGGACAGTAGTGATGATGATGATGAAGAAGAAGAAGATGATGGTGATGATGAAGGTGTTGGTGGTGGTGATGAGTTTTCTTGTGTCCAGTTTGGGTCCAGGTATCAGGAATGGAGTCTTACCCCTGCATGTGCATAGGTGCTTAGGAACTAACTCCCGTAAGCCCTGGTTAGGGGGCTGCTTTGAATTCCAACAGCATAGGGTCAGGCGAGCCCACTGGAGAGTAAAGATGTGAGCAGTTGCATGTCCTAAAATGCTAGGACCCTCTCGTGGGGTACAGGGCACATAGGAAAATTTTCATAGTTGTTGCCCGGTAAGTTTAGAGAAAACTTACATATAATCTTTTGTCAAAAACATGAATAACAGAGTAGAGATCAGTCACCATTAACTTCAGCCGCCCTAAGCTCTACAAATGAAGAACCCTGCACTTACCTGTTGCAAGGATATTCTTGTGAGCGAGCAGATGTAGCAACATGTGCTCTGAGAGGCATGTTTTCCTGCGCACAGCTGCATGGATGACTGCTCTTTAGGAACGGCAGAGGTGCTGGCGTGTGTGCGTGTGTGCGCTTGTGCGGGTCCTGCCCCGGCTCAGTCTGGGCAATCGGTTGATGGGCATACGGGGTCATCCTTCCACTGTAATTGTGAGTCTGCTTTCATGTCTAACCTCGATTTCACTGATCGCCTCCTGACCTCAGTGAAGCTAGACTCTTGGTTGTTTATTTATTAAAAAACTAGAGGCCTGGTGCACGAAATTCGTGCACAGGTAGGGTCCCTAGGCCTGGCTGGCCATCAGGGCCGATCTGTGGGGCGACCGGCGGGGCGATTGGGGGCCCCCGCTGGCACCCGCCTTGGTTGTCCTGGTGCTGCCCACTCACCAGCTCTGTCCCCCACCCCACTTGCTTGCCGGCCCTGCCCCCTGCCACCGCTGCCGGTCTCCTTCCTCTGTGGGGTTACCAGCAGGGTGATTGGGGGTCCCCTGCTGGCACCCGCCTTGGCTGGCCCGAGGCCTGTGGGCTGGGGGCAGCTCCTGCGTTAAGTGTCTGCCCCCTGGTGGTCAGTGTGCATCATAGCGACTGCATCATAGCGACTGGTCGTTCCACCATTCCATTGATTTTCATATTAGGCTTTTATTATATAGGATATGTTTTTATTGATATTTAGAGAGAGAGGAAGGGAGAAGGATAGAGAGATAGAAACATCGATGAGAGGAACATTATTGAACAGCTGCCTCCTGCAAGGCCCGTACTGGGGATCAAGCCCATAATCGAGGCATGTGCCCTGACCATGACCTCTTGGTTCTTGAGTCGACCCTCAACCCCTGAGCCAAACCAGCTGGGCTAGCCCCTGCTTGTTTAGACGGCCTTTGGAATGGCAGCAGAGGCCTAAACACAGTTCATTAATATTGCTGAGTGTTCCCTCCTGAAAAAGGCTACTTAGGTTGTCCAGGTGACTTTGAAAAAGAAAATACAACAATACCGTCTTTCTAACACTCTGACTCATTGTCTTATAATTTTTCTCTTAAATTGAAGTTTCCTCTGGGCTGAGTTGGTATTTGTGCCCAGCACTGTTTAAAAATAACTCCAGGCTATAAATAGAGCCGGCAGTAGGAGTAGGTACACTTCATTACCTCTGACAGTGGGCAGAGGACTGAGTGTATAAAGGGAGAGGAACGGTGCGCACGGTTGACTGCTGACTCAGGAAGGTTGATGTTTGTATTAGCTTGGACATTATGCCGCTCTTTCTCGAGTAAGCGTCCCAGCCGAAAGGTGCCTTTTTCTTGTAGGAAAATCCCGTTGCATGATCATAGTTAGGCGGCAGGTATCCTCGTTAGGAATCAGTTTCCATGCATGATAAGTGCTTCGTTAGCTGTCTGTGAATTATCTGCGGGAGAATTCTCTCTCCCTGGCCTATTTAATCCCAGCTTTCTCTAACAAAGGTATCAGATGGTGTGCTGCTGTCACTAACACCTGTCTTTCTGGACTTACAACATCCCAGCTTTGTCTCAGATCTAGATCCTACACCTGCCAGGAGAAGTAAAACTCCGGGCTTGTGTAATAATAGCTGTGCACACTCACTGAGCATCACGTGCCAGCCGCTGTCAGTGCTGCATTCATTGCCACCGTAATCCGGCCAGCAGCCCTCCTCCTTACTGTGAGAACTGGGCCACGGGGAGGGAGGCGAGTCACGTGACTAGGCCGTGCAGAGCCTGGGTCAGAGCCCCCGGGCTGCCTCTGGCGTGTCCATCTTCGTCCAATAGGACTGTGTTGTTCTCGTTCCTTACTGGTTCTTTTGCTGCCAAGAGCATCTACTCTGTTCTGCGCAAGAACATTTGACTCCGTAATTACAGAATCGCATCCCAGGCAGCAGGCACGCCCTTTGCTGGCTGTCAAAATGGAATCTGATCTATCCAGATTTTGGCACCTTAGAGGTTCCGAATAGATATAAAAAAGAATATAAAAGGATGGGTAAAAAGACATAACTGATTAAACAGATAGAGAGGAACTTGAGAATGCTGGTAGGGCCAGAACCAGGAAGGGCCAAACCTTGTTAATGAAATGCTCAGCAAATGGTTTTTCCTTTTCCCCTCTCTAATTGATCATCTCAGAGTTTTATTTCCTTTGAAGGAAGATTTCAACACCCACTTCTTACATTCAAGATTAAGGTGAGGAAGGAATTGGCAGGGCTTATATCTGCCCCCCTCTGTGTGTCCTGTGGAGTTGATGTCATGCAAATCTTTTTGGAAGTAGTCTGGACATATGCTCCTATGTTCATATCTTCATTTCTTATAGTGGCGATGCTAAGGGTTAATTTAAGGAAGGTAGGACCATTCCTTCTGCAATGTTGTGTGGAGAGAGCTGTGTGAATTATAAGGAACCACTTCTCCCAGGAGTGGAAATGAGTGAGGTGAGAGAATTGTCTTGTGATAAAGAACATGGGAGTTATTCTGAGGAAAGTTTTTCTCATTGTTTCCTAGGAAGTGGGTGACTAGAAAGAAATATTCCGGTTTTTGTTTTTTCACTGCTTAGATATTGCAATGAAGCAGGTCAAATCTTGAAAGTCACGAGCCTCTGAACAGGAAGAGAAAAATGACAAGGTAGTGAAAAAGGGACATTTATTCTGATTTGTGCTGGCCGTCACTACTTGGAGATAAGACATGGAAATAGTCTAAAAGAAATGATTCTTCTCTGTCAGTCCCAAGACCTTCCAGTGACTTCCCTCCTCACTCAGAGTAAAACCCAAAGCCTCTCTCCCTGGTCTACAAGCCTGCTCTCCCTGGTCTACAAGCCTGCGCAGCTCACGTACACACACGTGCACAAATGCCTCCTTTCTCACCGCATCTGCCTCCACCTGCCTCCCTCCTCCAGCTCCTACTCTCCATCCTGCTCTTGAACTCACTCAGCATATCTCCTCCTGCCTTAGGCCTTTGCACTTGGCTGGCTGCCCGACTCCCTCAGGTCTGTGTGTAAATGCCATCTTATCAGACTGTGTCCCTGACCCTGCTGTATTAGACATTGTATAAAACACGCACACGTCCCGCCCCGCTTTGTCCCCCATCCTCTGCTTTTCTTTCCCCCAGAGCTCTGCTGTATTCAGTCGTTACTGAGCATCTCTCCTGGAACGTAGGTGCCTAGGAACAGGTCTGCAGCTGTTTGACTCTGCGTGTTACCCAGGGCCCACGGCAGGGCCTGGAAGCAGCAGGCACACTGCTTCCCTTGTTAGTGCATCGCTGAAAGCTACACCATTCTGATTTTACGCTGCATTGAGAAGATATAAAATTGCAGGACCTGCATGCAAAAAAAAAAAAAGGAAAGAAAATAGGAGGGTGATTGTTCCCCTTGGAGAAGAAAAGAAACTGCAATGGAATCTTTTTAAGAAACAAGTTTTTAAAATGGGATTTAGTTTGCACAGATCTGAGGCATGTGTAATATCCCCAGGAATATTTCAGAAGGATTCAGGTATTATGTGATTCCAGCATGTGAAGTAATTACATTATTAACTAGGACTGATGTAGTTTCAGAAAATGGCTCATATGTTTTCCCAGAGATACTCTTAGGACTTACATATGACACATTCCTGATGTCATATTTCATATGTCAGCAGTTATAAAACCATCATGAAATATAACAGCATTTTTAGGAAAAAACGAAAATACTTAAAACATTTAAAGGGTTTATCGATAGCATGAATTTAGGCATATAAGCTATCCACCACTTTCTCCTTTACTATCTGTCATTCAGAATTTGAGTCCAATTCTTTGACTGTGAATCTACAGCTCCTTGTAAGTGACTTTTGACCTTTGACACATATGCATAGCAAGTGTTGGCTGGACTGGCTGGTTTTCATACTTGTGATCATGGTCTACTTTAGCACCTTTAGGATTAAACTTACACTTTTGAACTATATTGACCAACACTGGTCAATATACTCTACATATCCTATTTGGTTAAACCTTTTTTTGTTTGTTTCTTTTCTTCTTTTTTCTTTCTCTTCTCTTGAAATCAACTGGAAGTGTTGCTTGGTGCCTGACAGATGGTCACCAACAGACACCAACCTCCTAGCTTTGAAAACTCTACTATCTTCCCTTGCATTGCCTGGCACCTGACAGGCGGTCTCTACCTGCATTGTCACTCCTCATGCCTTAGTGCAACATTTGTGAAGATATTTCAGTTGGCTTCGAGGTGTTCAGATTTAGTCACAGTGGGATGGGTGTGCTGGCTGAGAGTGGAGTCTAGTGTCCGTGCATGACCTGCCACCATCTGAGCAGGCCGGTGTCTCAGTGTCTCACAGGCGGGCCCACGCAGTGCGGGCACTGCCTCGACGGACTCCTTGCTGCTGGCAAGGACCCACCAACATCCAAGAAATATAAGGTGCTTTCCGCTCCAGAAATGTAAAAATGGAGAAATATGGGCTTAGGGCCAAGGCAATGTATGGTTTTAAATTTCCTTTTTAAACACGAGGAGTCTCTGTTTTCATTGTCATTTGCAAGAGCTGCTCAAAGGAAAGGTAACCTTAACGGTGCGTAGGCACAGGCTGTATTCGCACAGTTCATCCTGGGGACCTGTTCCCCTACCGTAGCCCCTGAGTGACTGACGTCAGAGGACGAGGCAGGGATAGCAGGTGGGGGGACGCTAAGGTGAACACAAACATCCCTTTTCCCCTTTCTGCTTTCGGGGACTCAGCACACTTATATTTGTGGGTGGGTTTTCCTGTTTTGTTCTTACGGGTTTTTTCCTGTGCTTTGTTACAGTACCCATCCTCTGTTGTCAGGCCAGTGAACAGATATCAGACCCTGCCCTTAATTCATGGAGAGTGCCCCAAAATTAACAGATAAGAAGACACAGAAGTTAATTGTGTGTTGTGTTTTTTAGGGTTCCCGTGCTGGCCTGCCCATCTTTGTCCTGGCTTTGTCCAGGTGCTCTGTGGGTGCTAGTTACCTGTCAGGAGGGCCTTGGCTGCCTGGTGCCTTTGCCTGCCTCTCCGCCTTGACTCCTCCCTCCCTTCTCTATCACACCTATAGTAAGGCCTATATTGTAGGAATTCAAATTTACTGGAAGCTTTGGATATAAAACTGGCATTGTTTTCATATTTTTGATTGAAATACTTTAATGTCATTTGAAGGCCAGTTATTTTTTTCTATAAGCTAAGGTTGGTTATGTCTATGTTCCAAAATTAGTTTTGTGTATCTACCCGTCTGTGTACGTAACATGTTGTTAATGTGTCAGTTCCTTTTGCTTTTTAATTTCTAGCCTTTGTTGGCCCACGTTGAAGTAGGAATGGGTCTCTCAGGTTCCTGATATTCTTCCCATCCTTTATCATCTTTCACATGTAACTTTTTGGGTAAGCTTATGTTTTCTCATTTCATCTTCACTTCAAAATTCCCGGCCTCTTCCTATGCCATGATTAATCTGTCTCCTCTGTGCAAATCAAATCAATCGGTGAGTTAACATCAGATTGGGCATATGACCTAATGCTCTAAACTGGAGTTCCCTCACACCTAACCCTGTGGTGATGTCTGGCTTTGGCCTAGAGAACAGTGAAACTGATTATAACAATGCCTCACACAGTCTCCTGCTTTCGTCTACAAAGCACTTCACGTGATTTTGTTTAACCCTCGCTGCACATAAGATGAGGTTTGGGTTCAGGTGACAGGTAAGCTGTAGGCTGGGAAGAGACCCCAGGTTGGGACTCTCCTCGAGCAAGGGTTTGGTTTTGTTCTTACTGTGCTGCTTTGCCTTTTTCACTGAGAGCTTTGGAAAATTTGTGTTGATAACCAACATTTTCATGTCTCCTAACTGGACAGTTTTCCTAAGCTCTGGCCCTGTTGCCAAATGCTAGCTGAAGGCTTTGAGATCCACGCTAGGAGTTAGGAGGAGGAGGGGTGTTTTGCTCTCCTGTCAGCGGTAGCTCAGTGTGCTCTAACCCCCGTGTCTGCCCGAGCGATGCTGCCCGCTTGGCTTAGGGACGTGTGGCCTCCCTTCAGATGCCTCGCCGTGCTTAGGCCTCCTAGTTTTGCAAGTTGCCCTTCCCAACAAGATAAGATGTTGGGTTTCTGGTCAGACTTCTTAAGTCAAAATAAAATGTTTATTAGAAATGACTGTGGGTGGCCTTGGAGCAGGGGGATGAGCAGTCAGCTCCAGCCTTGGCTGCATGGGGCCTGCGTTCTGGCCCGGGGCAGGGGTCCCAACAGGCTTTCTGCTGCAGAAGTGCAAACTGTCTAAAACAATGTGCTGAGGAGAGGTGTGAACCATCACTTTCTCTTCTCTTTTCCAAAGTTTTGGAGCCTGTGGTGGGGCAGGTTCTTGGGATTCCTACAGTGACCATTTCGCCATTGAGACCTGCAAGGAGACAGATATGCTGAACTACCTCATCGAGTGTTTTGACCGAGTTGGAATAGAGGAAAAAAAAGCACCAAAGGTAATAAGAAACAGATTCATCTAAAAGAGCCCACAGAGCCTGGTCATTTGTTTGATAAATAATAGTTTCCACCCCCTACTTAGCATTCATTTATTTATTCATGAAGTGTTATTGAGCATGTACTACGTGCCAGGCACTATTCCAGGAGCTCGGGATATGAACAAAACAGACGAAGATCCCTGCCCTCATAGAACTCACATCCTAGCAGAGGGAAGAAGTGACAGGGCCAAGGGCCATTGCTACCAACAGCTTACATGGTCCTAGTAATTTCTGATAGTCTCTCATAATCATAATCATAATAAACAACATTTATGTAGCCCGTAGACTGGCAGGTGCTGTTCTGGGCCTGCATTAGTTGAGATTCCCAGTTCAGTTAGCCCGGTGTAATCCAGTGTAAGATTCATACTATTTTTAATGTATGAATAAGCAAATGAACCTTGGAGAGATTAAGTAATTGTCCAGAATCACTTACATAATAAGTTGCAAAACTGCATTTAAACTTAGGAAGCTATACTTTTTCTCTTCTTTTGTGCTGACTTCACTATTATTTCATTTTATTCCTACTTCATTTTCTAGTTCTAGTTTTCCATTAGAAACTAATCTGGTTGTCCACCTGTTGGTTTCATATGTCTGCAGGGCCTCTGGGGTTTGTTGCTCTTAACCTTAGCAAAGCAGAGCGAGTGGGCACATGTCTGAGATTCCTGAGTGGTCACCTCCAGCCTCCACTTCTTTCTTCTCCAACTGTAGATTTCAGCCGAAGCAGTGACCGGGGTGATACAGTTACTCCGGCTTGTTTGGTGTGAATTAAGGAAGAGCAAAGCATGCCATTTTCTGGAGTTCTGTCTCTTTTGACTATTGTCAGTTCTCAACAGTCTGGGGCTATTTTGTTTGTCTTTTCTTTTCAGATGTGCAGCCAGCCAGCGGTCAGCCAGCTTCTGAGCAACATCCGCTCACAGTGCATATCCCACACTGCGCTAGTACTGCAAGGCTCCCTCACCCAGCCCAGGTAGGAGAAACCGAGATTGCTGGATGTTAGCAGGGGAAGTCTAGCCACTGCTCACCTTTAATTGGATAAAGCATAAACCAATAAGTGAAAGAGGTGAATTTTTAAAAATATATTTTTTGTTGATTTCAGAGAGGAAGGGAGAGAGAGATAGAAACATCAATGATGAGAGAGAATTATTGATTGGCTGCCTCCTGCAGGCCCCTCCATGGGGGATCGAGCCTGCAACCCGGGCATATGCCCTGACCAGGAATCGAACCGTGACCTCCTGATTCATAGGTCTATGCTCAACTGCTGAGCCACACTGGCCAGGGCTAATCTCTCAGTTTTTAGACAGAAAGGAATTTATTTATGACTAGAGGCCGGGTGTATAAAATTCATGCACGGGTGTGTGTGTGTCCCTCAGCCCAGCCTGTGCTCTCTTGCAATCTGGGACCCCTTGGGTAGGGTCCCTAGGCCTGGCCGGCAATCAGGGCCTATCGGGGCTTTCCTTCCCCTGGCTGCCGGCAGCTGGCCCTGCCTCCGCCGCTGCCACTGCTTGCCATCCGTGTGGCACTGCTCCTCCCACCCCACCGTGGGTCGCCTCCCTCTGTGGACGACAGGCGTGCAGTGCAATCACTTGGCTGGCCTGGGCCTCCCTCTGCAGGGCGATTGTGGGGCGATGGCGGGCCCCTCCCTCCCCCGGACCAATCACATCATACCTGCGTTGGCTGGCCTGGCGTCAGTGCGTGTCATAGCGTGGTTGTCCGGAAGGTCGTTCTGCTGTTCGGTCATTTGGTTGATTTGCATATTATGCCTTTATTATAATAGATAAGAAGAGTGATCTTTTACCTAAACTACCTATGTCCTGTAGAATATTTGGGAGATTTCAAGTTTGACATTTGGCTGGCAGTTGCTGCTGACATGGCCTTCCATGTGTTCTGTATTATGTGGTAATTGGTTGACTCATCGCAGCTATTGACTCTCCTGGTCCGCAGGTCCATGCAGCAGCCATCCTTCCTGGTGCCGTACATGCTGTGTAGGAACCTCCCATACGGCTTCATTCAAGAGCTGGTGAGAACCACTCACCAGGATGAAGAAGTGTTCAAGCAGGTAAGGTTTTCGGGAATTTGCTACCAAAACTTTTAGCTTAGGAGTTTCTATGACGAGGCTGGTTTTTAAATGCACCATATATTGAAACGCTGTTCCTGAATTTTATTATGCACGTGTTATCTGCTCAGAAAGGAGACCGACCTGAGATCCCTTTCTTAGGGAAATCAGATTGACAGCTGCATTGTTCAAATCAGGTGCCATTTCAACTAATCAATGAGGCAGGAATATTCTAAATAGGATTCGTGCTAAGTGCTTTGGGAAATAAGAAGAAATATAAGGGTGTGCCCCTGATTTTTAAGGAGCTTTTAACACAGGAATACCAAGAGATAGCATCAGGCTCACTGTGCATTTGATGAGTAGTGTTGAAAATTAGCTCTCCGTGTTTACAAAAAGGCGATTAATAAATTAATGACCAAATTAGGGCAGTGGCAGTTTGCACACCACATAAAATCTTTCTCTTCCTACCAGTAATCTGGGGGTGATGTCTCATATCTTACTGATTACTTCATTCATTAACTATTCATTCATTTTTGATACCTCATTGTGTAAAGTCAAGTGAAAATGCAGATATGCAACATTTAATAATAAAGCTTAATAATAATAATAACTAATAAGCTCAGGCTTGCAGGGTTTTTTTAGCATTGCCTTTTGGTTGCTGCTTTATGGCTTGTCTTACAAAGTACACTCTTTGGTCCTAACCGGTTTGGCTCAGTGGATAGAGCATCAGCCTGCAGACTGAAGGGTCCCGGGTTCGATTCCAGTCAAAGGGCACGTGCCTGGGTTGCCAGCTGGATACCCAGTGGGGGGCAGCAGGAGGCAGCCAATCAATGATTCTCATCATTAATGTTTCTATCTCTCTCTCCCTCTCCCTTCTCTGAAATCAGTTTTTTAAAAATTAAAAAAAAAAGTATGCACTTTGCCACAGCCACTTTCACACAAGCTGCTTCCTTCCCTTTGTGAAAGGATTTTTATGACATTTTCTCTCAGTTTGTTGTATGATCATTTCTTTTTTGTGTGACTAGGAAGAATAACAGAGGCAAGCTATACTTGATATGATTCCTATTAAACTGTTTTTATACTTAATACTAGAGACCCGGTGCACGAATTTGTGCATGGGTGGGTCCAGATGGCTGCCCTGATCGGGGTGTAGGGGGGTAGGGGTGGCGGCCAGCCCCACCCCCTGGTCAAACTTCCAGTAGAGGAGATAATTTGCATATTGGCCTTTTATTATGTAGGAGGATTACTTATAGCTATTAATTTTTTAAAATATATTTTTAATGATTTCAGAGAGGAAGGGAGAGGGAGAGAGAGAAACATCAATTATAATTATAAGAGATTATCATTGGTTGGCTGCCTCCTGCCTGCCCCACACTGGGGACAGAGCCCGCAAACTGGGCATGTATCCTGACAGGGAATCGAACTGTGACCTCCTGGTTTATAGGTTGATGCCCAACCACTGAGCCACACCAGCCAGGCTATAGCTATTCATTTTAATGTCTTTGAATTCTCAGAAATTGTGTCTTTAAAATTCAGGAGTGAAACTCCCAGTTAGCGTTGCATACTCTGTCTGGATCCATCTGCTGCTTCTCTTACCTGATGGTCTCGTTGACATAGGGGAATAGTTAAGGCATCAGAGTGAGCTTTTCTTCTCTAGAACGATGAGTGAACGCTGATGAAAATAAGTAACTGTCTTGAAAGGTGATACATTGTGATATGTGTAACTGCTTTAACTAGAATACTTGCATTAAAAAAGACATCATTTGCCGAAACCGGTTTGGCTCAATGGATAGAGCGTCGGCCTGCGGACTCAAGGGTCCCGGGTTCGATTCCGGTCAAGGGCATGTACCTGGGTTGCGGCCACATCCCCAGTGGGAGATGTGCAGGAGGCAGCTGATCGATGTTTCTCTCGCATCGATGTTTCTAACTCTCTATCTCTCTCCCTTCCTCTCTGTAAAAAATCAATAAAATATATTAAAAAAAAAAAAAGACATCATTTGAGGGACCCAGAGTAGCTTCAACTAAAAAATCATCCCAATGTTGTGCCTGTTTTATTGCACAGAGGCTATGAAATGACCTCTTTGTTTTTTATACAATTGAGGTGAAATTCACATAGCAAGGGTACCCATTTTGAAGTGTACAGTCCAGTGGCATCTAGTATATTCACAATGTGTCAACCACCGCAGGCCTGCTTATTTTTTTAAAATATATTTTTATTACTTTTTGATAGAGAGGAAGGGAGAGGGATAGAGAGTTAGAAACATCGATGAGAGAGAAACATCGATCAGCTGCCTCTTGCACACCTCCCACTGGGGATGTGCCCGCAACCAAGGTACATGCCCTTGACTGGAATCGAACCTGGGACCTTTCAGTCTACAGGCCGACGCTCTATCCACTGAGCCAAACCAGTCAGGGCCGGCCTGCTTATTTTTAATCACAGGATTCTGATGCCTTTTCTGCCACTTAGTCTTAAACAAGGCTTGTCTCTCCTTAGGTATCACCACGTGTCTTTTCTAGAAAGGATGAGTAAAACAGAGTTGCTGAACTGAAAAACAAGTTACCTTCCTGTCTTCTTTAAATTATTAAATCTTTTGACTGAAATGTAAATACTTGTGATATTCACAGATAAATAAAGATATCAGAAATAAATTGTTGCTAGAATTTAAGCTTGGAGATGAACACCTGTAGCATTTTTTATCATTGCTGGGAGCTATTTATATGACTAGAAGAGAATTATTAAAATATGTAAGTCACACAGATAGTATAACACTTGCCTATTTGAAAAATAAGCTTAGCAATATTGTCTGTAATAACGCAAACTCTACTTACAAAAGAGGACAGCTCTATTAGAGAGAGTAATGATGCTTTACTTTATAGCATTCCTGAAAACGGTGCTCAGAGATTACTTTAGATGACCAGTTAAGAAATTTATTTTTGGTGATTCTGGAACTTCTGTTTGTTTGTTTTCTTGCTTGCAGTTTTGGCGTTCCCCATCTAAGCACTTCCTCGCCATTTTTAGCTCTTACGCAAGCACATTACTTCCACCCCGATTGCTCATTCGCAAAACTAGAATGTTTTCTTCCAGAGCTGTGTTGATACCTCCAGATGCCGTAAGGCCCGGGTAGTCCAGGGCACCTTTCTGTAACACTGTGCTTCCTAAACCATGAAGGTGCTCAGTACAATGGAAGGAGGTTATTAGTAGGAAAGGGAGTTTCTCAGGTTTCCCAGGGGCTTCATAGACCTCCCTTTTCCAACATGTTGGCATTCAGATTGTTAGCCGTTGGTTACGACTTTTTCTACCTTAATGGAATTGGAAGTCTTGAATCCCTACCAAATCCCCAGATGTGTTGGTGAGTGAGTGCGTTGTGACATTCGAAGTCATGTGTGCTGTGCTCATCTGGCAGCGTTTGTGTGCCCTGGCATTAGTGGTAAACTTGTAAAAGGACATGGGAGTGCCCTGCAGCTCTGACAGCAGGCTCTTGTGTATGTGGAGGGAAGACATTCTGATAAAGTTGTCTTTTTCAATTTTAACGTTTATCAGCTATCTCTTTGTTCTACGTATTTAAGGTTAATCCTATGTAATAAAAGGCTAATATGCTAATTGTTCCCTCGGGAGTTTGACCGACCGGAGTTCAACGCTCGCTATGACTTGCACTGACCACCATGGGGCAGCACGGAATGTAGGAAGGCTCCAGCCGGCAGCCGAAAGGCCCCGATTGGCCCTGATCGCCTGTCAGGCCTAGGGACCCTACCCGTGCACGAATTTTATGCCTCTAGTGTAATAATAATATCCATTATTGGTCTGTTTTTCTTGTTCTCTTCAAAATACAGGGAAAGATGGAAGGAATTAGATGGAGGTGGGAGGTGAAAAGCATTTCTTAACACCATTGATAGAGGTGAGAAAGTATTAGAACATGTAGTCCAGTTTCTTTACAGATTATGGGTGCTTGATGAGCAGAAACATGTGTTCTGAGTTGTGTAGAATTGAGCTGATTAAAGCAGGGACCCCTGGAGGGTCCATATCAGGCTCCAGATTCCTGAGTTTCTGTGGAACCCCGGGGAGTCCTGCCAGGGTGTTAGGGTTCTCCGTGTGCTGTTGCTTCTGGACAATTCAGCTGCATTACTTTGTGGCTGGGCATGAAGGACAGCAGCACCCTGGCTGGGTCTGGACTCCCTTATATGCAAACAGCTTTTCCTTGGGGATGCGGGAGACGCCTGTGCATTCAGATCCGCACTTTATTTACGATGCCTCCCGTTCTTAAATTTCCTTAAACTTATATTTCTCATTTTGTTTTGTTTTGTTTCCTTACAGATCTTTATCCCCATTTTGCAAGGCCTGGCGCTTGCTGCCAAAGAGTGCTCCCTTGAGAGTGACTACTTCAAATACCCCCTCATGGTAAAGCTGCTTCTTTCTTATAACCCATTCACTAGCTGTGTTCTCCCAGGTTATGTTAACATACACTTTTCTTTCAGGTCCACGGTCAACCTTGTTTTCAAATTTAAAACACGAAATCATTGTGTGGCCATGCAGAGTGTGTGGCGTGCAGTGGGATGGGTCAGCGGAGACAGTTAGCAGCCCAGTACCCATCCCACCCATCGAGGCCTAGGCAGTCAGTGATCAGTCATTAAAGTGCCCCCCGCTCATTGGATAGCTTATGAGAATGATCATTATTGGTGGTATCCTTCTGAATCTCCCAGCAGTGAGCATGCCATACTATTTGGGATAAAATTTAGCTTAAAAAAAATTACAAATGCAAATAAAAGGTTAAGCTATTCTAAGAAAAGTATACAGCTTTATCATTTATGTAGTGACTTTGTACAGAAGGCCTAAGAGTAATTTTCTTGTTCACCTTCCATTTCCTGGGGCTGTACACTTCAAGCTTTACTTGAACATGGAAAACACGGATCTACTTAGCTCAGCAGAAATTGTGGACGAACGTTTCAGCTAGATTCTCATCGAGGACCTTGACTGTGATAAAAATATTGGAACCAGAAACAAAATAACAGGCTCTTTTCTTCTCTGAATTTACTTCTTTGAAATTTTAGGAGAAAAATACTTTGAAGTACTACTGAATATTTTTTATTCTAGAAATATGAAGGGAAACATCAAAATAATTCATTAACTCTGTATAAATACAGCCTTCCATAAATTGAGGTCTTGGTTAAATAGATATTTTTTACCGCATTTGTTCCATTTAATCATTATACAGACTTAATGTTTCTATCTCACAATTAACTTGTTAGTTACTGAGGACCCGGTCTGTGCCAGGCCCTGGGGACGCAGGAGCCCACTAGCAAGGGACCAGCTCTCTGCAGGGTGCTCGCAGTCTGCTGCAAAAACCAGCAAAACAGTCAGCAAAGTGCACAGGATAAATGCTAGCGCAGAGGCGTGCACAAAGGGTACACTTACCTCCTAAAAACCCCAAACCGAGCTCACAGGCAGGTTAAAGACCCTGCTGGGAACCGCAACTCTTGTTTTAAAGATCATTTTTGCCTGGATTTGTACAGGGCTCTTCACCGCACATGCTCTTCAGGCTCCTGACAAAAGTCATTCATCCTTATGCTCTGCTCTGTGTGTGGCAGATAAAAGGAAGCGGAATAAGCTGATGGTTTGAACGCAGTGGTGAAGTATTTCGGTGCACATGACTTACCACCATATTCTGTAAATATTCCTTCCTGGAATCGCTGACTTTCCTATGGTGGTTTGATTCAGTAAGGAGCTTTTAGTGTCAGATATCAACAAAACACAAAGGCTTTCATTATGATAGACAATCAGTTTATTTTGTGCCATTATTGGTGCTTGTACAGCAATGAGTATGCATTTTGGGAAAGGACAGTAGTGAGAGGCAGGCAGAGGAAGTCTCCTGGAGCCAAAACCAGAAACTGATTATTCTCTAGGTCAGTGGATCCCAACTCTGCCCTACCTTCGACTCACCTGGGGACCTTTACAAAATCCTGATGCCCGGCTCCCAGGCACTGTCATTGAATTCATCTCGTGCGTGGTGAGGCTGTGGCCTGGCATTGGGATTTCTGATGCTTCCCAGGAGATCCCAAAGTGCAGCAAAGTTGGGGAACCCTGAACTGAGCAGCAAGAATACTCCCTTCTCGGTGGTGCACTGAGCCTGGGCTTCTCAAAGACATGTCGGTGCACCATGTCCACATTGCAGAGAAGTAAGCCCACTGTTCACATGGCATTTGATTGGCTTACAGTGGCTGTGTTAGTGCTGCTTGTCCCTAAAAAAACACTTTTCATGATTCTCTAATATGAGAATGATTGACACTCAGAAGGAAAATGTTGGAGTTCTCAAAAATACCAGAGATCATGAAACCAAGGAATACTTTTAAATATGTTCTGGATTTGATAGCTTATTAAATTATAATTCTTTATAGTTCTGTTTAGCACTGGCAAGATTACCCATCTACAGTTTATGAAGCATATCTTTTTGACATGGAAAAAAGTTATTTAAAAATATATAGACACATTTATCTCTGTGTATATGCACAAAAATATGTCTGGAAAGCTGTTAACTAAAATATCAATAGAGGTTGTCCCTTGGTGTAAGGTTTGAGTGACTTTTAGCTTCATTTTATATTTCTGTTTTATGTGAAGTGTTTTACAGGGCGATGTATTGCTGAGTCAGGGAAGCAGTGAAGCTGTTAGGGTTGGGAGGGATACATGCGCATTTACAGCAGCAGTTAGAGCTATTCTTCGGCGTTCACTTTGCGGTCTGGTGAAATATGTTTAAATGACTCTCTGATGTGATTTCCAGGCTTTGGGTGAGCTCTGCGAAACCAAGTTTGGGAAGACACACCCCGTGTGCAATTTGGTAAGTGCCTCCCTGATGGGCTTGCACACTTGGAGTGAGCATATATCTCAGAAGGTGTTCATCATCTGGGAGCCGTCTGTCATAGGGCATTTAGATCTAGACATAGATAGCATGTGTGGGTGGCTCTGGATTCTTAAATTGATGTCATATACCATTTCCTGGGATGAAGCTGTTGACTTTCTTTAGGGATTTTTTAAATTTGGGGTTAGTATTATACATCTAGAATAATACATCTAGAATAGCAAGTCCTAGGGAAGAATTGACTTGAATCCTTTTGCAGTATAAGAAGAGTTCATGTGCACTCCATCGCAGAGTTTCTGAAACATCAAACTTAGAAGTGTATCTTATAAAAGTATGGAGGAGCTGGAGGCTTTCATGGAGGAGCTGGAGGCTTTCCTCCATCCGAGATGAGAAAACACCAGCAGGGGGAAGTGAGCACACGTGGGAGCCTGTGTTTTGGTGGCTCAGGACCCGCTGCGGAGGTCGGCTGTTGGGAACTCTGTCCATGACTGTTTTACCTCCCTTGCCGAGACAGCCGCTTCATCTGCCCCTTTCATTTCTGCACAGGTCGCTTCCTTGCCGTTGTGGTTGCCTAAGTCCCTCAGCCCTGGGTCCGGGCGGGAGCTGCAGAGACTCTCCTATTTGGGGTCTTTTTTTAGCTTCTCAGTCTTCGCAGAAGATGATGTAAGTATAGTGGCCATTTGCACCTTTGCTCTTGTGTTCAGATTCCTTCCCAAATGTATAATATATGTCGATTGAATTTGTTTCTTTTCTTTCCAGGCTAAAGTGGTTGAAAAATATTTCTCAGGGCCTGCTATTACCCTGGAAAATACTCGAGTGGTTAGCCAATCATTGCAGCATTACTTGGAGCTGGGAAGGGTAGGTGTTCAGAAAATGAACTCGGGGGATGAATAAAAGGCGGTAGACGAGTAACCGGTGCCTTGAACGGTAACTTCAGCAAGAATGCTATGCGCCCTCGGTAGGAGGCATCGCTGGGCACGGGTCCTGAGTTTAGTGGCCAGGCTTTCTCCAACTTGCTCTTAGGCATTTAAAACATGGGGTGAGTGAGCGCTGTTAGTTTAACTCGCTGGTCCCAAGTGTAGTTTATATGGCTTCAGTTCTCAAAAAAAGCAGCAAAATTATAGGCTAATTATAGCGTCATTAAGGTAATTGTGATCTTCTCCTGGAAAGGAAATGGCAAAGGCTATTTTATTAAAACTGTAACTACTTCCTTCTCCACTCCACATCCCCTTCCATGCTAATGGCTGTCGACACAGTTGAGTGTGGGCTTGTCGTCTGCTCTTCCTGTCGCCAGCTTCTCGCAGTCAGAGGAAGTGGGGAGGAGAGAAAGCAGGGAGGGAACTAGCTATCCTTAAGTCCAAAGGAATAATTTTTAAAGTAAAGCTTTAATTTTTTTCTTTGTTTTTAAAATAAATTTCAGCAAGAGCTTTTCAAGATTCTGCATAGTATTCTGTTAAATGGTGAAACCCGGGAGGCCGCCCTTGGTTACATGGCGGCTGTCGTCAATGCCAATATGAAAAAAGCACAGATGCAGGTAGGACCCCTAAAGGCTCCTTTTATTGCTTCGTTAATTCATTCCTCTAACTCCTCTGTTCATTCAGCGCTGACCCGACACTGTCCTAGGAGATGGAGATGCGTGTTGAACAAGATGGAGACACTTCCTGCTTCTGTGCAGCAGGTGTCCTGTAGGGTAAATGAGTGAGCCCACAGACATGGTTTCAGCAGACATAGCTCCTAGGAAGCAAAGACCGCAGGGTACCGCCCTGGAGAGTGACGGTGGAGGTTCCAGAAAGAAGCTGTGGGTGAATTTTGTCTGAGTGGCGGAAAGGCCCCTCTAAGGAGGTGGCATTTGATCAGAGACCTGACTGATAGAAAGAACCAGCCATTGCAAGGCCGGGGAAAGAGCTCTCTAGGCAGGCGTAAGGCACTAAGGCAGGAATGGACTAGCTTTGGAGCAAGCCCACATGCCGGCCTTTGTAGCTGGAGGACCGTGAACAGGAAGTGAAGGGTGGGTGGTGCGTTAGGAGGGTGGTCAGAGGCTCCATCAGTTTGCTCAGTGTGGTAAGAGCTGCCGTGAGGAACCCTCCGAGTCTGTGCAGAGAAGGCACTAAAGTGGGCGGGAGCCAGAGCAGACCTGGAGGCTACTGGTGTGGACTGTTTTGCCAGAGCAGAAAAGCTACAAGGCCCGTCCACCCTGTATTAGTAATGAATGATGTGACGTTTCTACTCAAGATGGAAAAAGTATAGGTCAAAGCTGGACCTTGCACGAGACTGCCTGGATTCGCCATTGGGGTTCCGGCGTTTGCTAATAGTGGGACCTTAGGCAGTTACTTCTGTTTCTCCGTTCCCTCATTGCTGAATGGGGATGATAAACACTGAACGTGTGTATTTCCTCTCCGTAAAGTTGGTGGAATAGTGAGCACTACATAGTGAGCACTCCGCGTTGTAACTGTCGCTGTTACAATTGTTCTGTTACTAGTGAGGACCGTGCCAATGCTGTCGGCTAGAGAGACTGTCAGGCGGGACCGTGACACTAGTTGTTCTCATGCTCTTGAGGGGAATGAAGAGGAAGGCAGCGGTGTGTAGTGTGTTGCTTGCTGATTGTGAGGTCTTAGCCAATCACTTAATTCTCTGAATCTTAGTTTTCTTCTCTGGAAAATGGGAATTATAGTAACTGCCTTCTACGGGCTATAGTGAAGATTCGGTGAGAGAACGTATGAAATGCTTCACAATGATGAGCACTCAATAAGTAGTAGTTGCTAAAGAGTGACAGTGGTGACGTGATATGTGTGTCCTGTCGTTGACCGTTTGGTGCTCTAGCTCAGCGGTCACCAACCTTTCGGACTTCACGGACCATCAGTGGTCCTCGGACCACCCGTTGGCGACCGCTGCTCTAGCTGGTTTGGCCAGTGGTTAGAGCATCTGCCTGTGGATGGAAGGGTCTCAGGTTCGATTCCCAGTCAAGGGCATGTACCTGGGTTGCAGGCTCAATCCCTAGCCCAGGTTGGGGCATGTGCAGGAGGCAACCAATCAGTGTGTCTCTCTCACATCGATGTTTCTCTCTCTCCCCCCTCCTCTCTCCCTTCCACTCTCTCTAAAAATCAATGGAAACATATTCTCTGGTGAGGATTTTAAAAAAATTTATTTTCTTAATAAAAAAAAGAAAAAAAAGATGCATGTTTGGTCAGCATTTCTATTCAGTCATTATTCTAAGTACTTCCTTTCATGTTTCACAGACAGATGACAGATTGGTTTCTACAGATGGATTTATGCTGAATTTTCTCTGGGTGCTGCAGCAGCTAAGTACAAAGATCAAGTTAGAGACGGTTGACCCCACGTATATATTCCACCCGAGGTGTCGGATCACTCTGCCCACCGATGAGACCAGAGTGAACGCCACGATGGAGGATGTGAAGGACTGGCTGGCGGAACTCTGTGAGTGATGTGTTCATTATCAGGTCGTTGAACAGCTGCCCTTCTATTTTTTTAATTAAAAAACAATAGGTATGCGTCTGTCATCAGCAGGATGCAGTGGCACCCAGAGCGTCACCCCACAGCTTGGATCTGACACCAGTACAGCGTCCCTGTCCGTCGCCTCCTGCCCCCACCTCCTTGTTCCCTCCGGCCCTTGCTCCTGTCCCCCAGGGACAGTTTTCACTGACTCCTCACCCCTACAGCGGTGACATCAGACCCCGGATTCACGAAGCGGGGGGCAGAGCCGGGAGCGTGTCTGAGGACTCGATTGTGGTCTTGCCCAATCAGGCAACATGACTGATATTTACCATTAATGACACTGTTTTGGGGCCAGGTTTTATTGGCCAGTACAGAGCTGTGTCAGAGTCATGGGAGATTTTAACCAAAACAAAGATTCAGTGTGCCTTCCCTTTGACCATCCCATATATTCTATAGGAAATTCTCTATGTGTAGGCTTATGGGCTGATCAGGAAAAGAACTTTAATATCTTAATAGTAACTCTGTTGTTTTCTAGTTAAATATGAGGAGACTGAGCTTCCAAAAGGTGCCACGCTCGCCTCGCCCGTTCAGCACGTGGCGCTGCTGCTCGGTTCTGTGCGCGAGTCCAGGGCGCTCTCTGCTCTGCCACGCAGCCTGGTCTGTGTTCATCCTTCCTGGTGGTTAGTTGGGTTGCAGTTTCTCATGTTTGTCAGTAGTGAAGGAGGCAGTGTAATTCTTTACAAAATTTCTGTTTCACTCAGGAGACCTGATTTCAGATAAGCCAGGCAGATTTAAGAATTAAGATGTGGGCTCTGGCCCTAGCCAGTTTGGCTCAGTGGATAGAGCATCAGCCTGCAGACTAAAGAGTCCCAGGTTCGATTCCGGCCAAGGGCACATGCCCGAGCTGTGGGCTCGATCCCCACCCCCAGTAGCGGGCGTGCAGGAGGCAGCCAATCAGTGATTCTCTCTCATTATTAATGTTTATATCTCTCCCTTTCCCTTCCTCTCTGAAATCAATAAAAAAATATATATTAAAAACAAAAGAAAAAAAGAATATTCCTTAAATGTTAAAAATAAAATAAACAAAAAGGAAAATTACTTAAAAAAAAAAAGTTGTGGGTTCTCGGGGTCAGGGCCGGAGCCGGGGGAGTCACAGGCTGTGGAGGAGGTGGTCACGGGTTTCTAGGGAGCTCTGCCCGATGGATGGAAGGCTGCAGCTCAGGAAGGTCCTCCGAGAGGCCCTTCAGGGGGAGGGAGGAGGGAGGGGAGGAGGAAGAAGGAGCCTAGGCTGCCTGGCCTCAGCCCTTTTCCTGGCCAACGGCAGTCGTGCCCCAGAGAGGCCCAGGCAGGCAGAGGGAGAGCGTGCGAAGGAGTAAAGACAGAAAGAAAGAACAGGCAGAGGGAAGGTACGGAGGCTTGTGACAGACAGAATGTATCTGGGAGACAGGTGAGCAGGAAAACAGAAAAGTAGAAATGCAAGAGCAATGGGCAGAAACTCAACAGTAATGACACTGGGTTTGAAAGTGGATCCTAAGGGTGGGGGGAGGGGGACAGGGAGGGGATGACTTTCTGCCTCTCCACTTTTTTGTTTAGGTCCAATCCCAAAGGATCTCAATACCCGGCATGCCCCTGAGTGGCCACATCCTCCTACGTGGGTGGTGTTCCCAGCTGCCCCGGTTAAAAAGTTAGAGTTTACAGAGTCTAGAAAGAAGATAATTTTGTTTGGATGCTAGTGATTCCTCACACATTGTTGCCTCTCCAAAAAATGAATTTACGAGCTAGGGATATAATATGCAATAAAAATTAATACAGTAAAAAAAGTTCTTTGGATTGGCCAAAATCAAATATATACATAGAAGAAACGGAAGGAAATAGACTGTTCTCTGAGTTTAAATAAATAAATATTTAATAAAGCTGACAGCAGCAATTTAGCTACATATATATTTTATATGTACCAATTAAAATTCTCATGAAATATCTCACAGATCTTGGTGAATTGATGGTATGATTAATATATGAATATCTTGAAACCATTATGGTCATTGACCTTTCTCTCCACACTAAGGACAGCTGCTTAATGACAGCCACCAGAGCCCCGCAGCACTGTTTATGAGGGAGGGTGGTGGGTGCCTGCTCGCTGCAGCGACAGCATCGTGCCCAGGCAGGCACATTCCAGAAAAGCATTTAAACTGTCATAAAAGCCAGGTACCTGCGAACAGTAACGTCAGTGTGTGATCAGTGCCATTCAATGAGTAGCTTTTGTTAAGTCTTGGAATACCTCATAGACTAAGAAATTCAGAAGAATCAAAGGTTAAGCATTTTTCTAAAAATCTAATAAAACATGAAAAGCCAAACAGGATTTAACCTAGATGTAAGAGAGAAATTTAAAGTAATTTTAGAAATGAAGCGCATTTTCAGAGACATTGTGTGTGTGTATCTTAATTTATAAACATACCATGTATAGAGTGAGACAAAACGAATATGTAAAATAAAAGAAAGGAGGAAAACTAGTGTCCTATAAGTCAGAAAGTCATGCCATTCAAAATCCAGAACTGTTACAAATATGTAAGGTGAGAACTATATTTTATCAAGAGATCGGGTTTTTTGCTTGAAACAAAATGTAAGCAGTAAGTGTCATAGAAAATAAAATATACTTGTAGGGAAAATATGTGTACTTTTAGGAAAAATAAGATACAAATGGAAAGAAATTCAAGATATCAGATAGCTATAAATTATCAAAAACAAAGTGATAAGAGAAGAATGTGAGCTTGTGAAGAACTAGGTGGCATTTAAGCAATTTATTTAGTCTACCTAATGTGGATTCTGGGGATTCATAACAAAGGTTAGAATTCCATCATTCTCAGTAACTCCACTTTCCAGCATGTGCTCCCAAAGCTGGGCTGAGGGAGTAATTTATTGTACATAGATTCTCCCAGTACCACTTCTAATAGAGAAAATTAAGAAACACCCATTTTGAAGAATACAGGTCATAGATAAAACACATTGGGAAGACACATTGCAAAAGATTGTTGCTGTTCATATATGTAGACATTTCATCAGACGGGGAAGAATACCTGCTCTTTAAATGGAGCAAGCCCAAGGAATTCTGTTTTTCGTATAACATTAGTCAAGTCTATATGTTTTTTTAGGGATTGTTTCCTCCCAGATTTTAGTTTTTATTGTCTATAATTTTTTAAGAGTCATTAAACTATTGGGAAATTCAAGTGTCATTTTGCGTTATTGGTTGTGCTTTTTCTTTGATTTAGTCCTGCAACCACTTTTATTTAGGGGATAATGGTGTGTTTTTTTTCCTAGATGGAGATCAGCCTCCCTTTTCTGAGCCGAAATTCCCTACGGAATGCTTCTTTCTTACGCTGCACGCCCACCACCTCTCTATCCTGCCAAGTTGCCGTCGCTATATCCGCAGACTCCGGGCCATCCGGGAGCTCAATAGGTATGTGTGTGATGTCCTGTCCTGAGGTCGCCTGAGTCGCCATGTGTTCCAAGCTTCAGATAGCGGGGCACACAGTTAGAACCCCTCCCAGCCACTCAGGATGGCGCTGCGTCCAGAGTCTCTGGTGGGTGTAACCATGTCATTGAAGCTGCTCTACACGCTCCTCTCTTGCTGATGAAGCCCTTTAAGATCCATTCCCACACATACTCCCACATTTCTGTCACCTCGTGTGCAGTAGGGAGAGTAACGGTGTCAAAGATGTTCACGTGCTAGACCCCAGAACCTGTGAACACGTTACCTTACATGGTAAAAGGGACTTTGCAGATGTGATTAAGTTTAGGATCTCGAGATGGGAGATTTTCCTGGACTATCTGGGTGGACCCAATATTATAAGGGTCCTTATAAGAGGGAGGCAGGAGGCACAGAGTGAGAAAAGGAAACGTAATGGCGGAAGCAGGTGTCAGCGTGATGTGGTTGGTCCATGAGCCGAGGAATATAGGTGACCTCTAGGAGCTGCCAAGGGCAAGGACGCATTCTTCCCTGGTGCCTCGGGAGGAACGCTGACCACGTAAGACTTCTGACCTCCAGAGCTCTGGGCCGATAATTCTGTTGTTCAAGCCACCAAGTTTGTGCAAGCTTATTACACTAGCCATGGGAAATGAATATGACAAACTAGCAAACCTTGCCCTTCTTTTTCTTCCAATATGAACTCCCTGCATATGACTTTGTAATTAGCCGGTAAGGACAGAAATTGGCCTCACTCTGGTTATGGTTCTGGGGCAATGAAAGGGAATTTGGCATTCTCCTGTAATATGACCACCTCGAAGTCATCAAAGTCTCCCAGGCTCCTTTTGAATTCTGGGAGTGCCCGTCTTTGCTCTCACTTACAGCTAAGAGACCCAGTAAGGTTATCGATTCAGTTTATATTTTAATGTGATGCTTGGTGGGACCAGACGCTACTTTATGGTCATCTTAGAACTCCCTGGCTCATTGACGTTCCTGGAGGTGAGATTGAGTATCCTGGCCTGTCCTTGTATTCTGTAAGCTCTCCACATAGAAGCAGCCCTCGTGTCTTCCTTCCCGGAGATCGCTGGTGGCCATTCTTGCAGCTGTTTTTCCACAGAGAGCCTTGGGCTGCCAGTATTCTGTCCTGAGGTGCCCGAATCGTCACTGCCCCGTCAGAGAACTAATCCCAGAGGCCCGTTTCTCTTGAGGGCCTGTTACCTGTGTGACCTCTTCTGGTGCCAGTAATATAGGTCATCGTATTAGTTTCCAATTGTTGCTGCAATAGATTACCACACTTTCATGACTTAAAACAACATCAGCGATTATCTCACAGTTCTGGGGGGCACAGTCCTGAAGTCAAGGCTGCATTCTTCCTGGAGGCTCTAGGGAGGAAGCTCTTGCTTTGCCTTTCCCAGCTCCTGATGGCCGCCTGCATCCCGTGGCTCGTGGCCCCTTCCTCCATCTTGAAATCAGCAGCAGAGCATATTGAGCTCGCTCTCCCTCCTCTGCTTTCACATCTCCTCCTCTTCCTCTGACTCCCTGTGGTGACCTTGGGCCCACCCAGACGGTCAGGATAATCTCCCATCTCGAGGTCCATACCCCTAATCACATCTGCAGAGTCCCTGTTGCATGTAAGGTAACAAACGCGTGCACAGGTTCTGGGGATTGGGGTGTGACATTATGGGGGAGCATTGTTCTGTCTATCACGCGCATAGTTGCACACAAAGTACTCCAGTTTATCAGAGGATTGTTAAAGGTTACCGTTTGGTTTATTGAATCCTTGAAATGGCTGGAAAAACGGTTCTCCTGTGAGCCTGGCCTGGCAGGAAGCTGCTTCAGGGGTCAGCCGGACAGTAGAGCCTCCACCAAGTGCTCCCAGAACCATGTGGCTGCCACTTGGCAACGTTCACTTCTGCTGTCAGTGAGGGTTCGCCTCTTGGTGGACTAGGTCATGTGCAGAAATGCTGGCAGCAAGGGAGTCTGGGAGTGGTAGTGTTTTTTTGTTTTGTTTTGTTTTTAAAGATCAACCTCTAGTTCCTTACAATGTCTTGATAGAAAGGAGTTGAAATAATGTTAAGTGAGCAATCTTTAAAATGGGCAGCATTATTACCGATCGGAGACACTACCTCACTGACAGGTGATACTTGGACAGACACCTGAAGGAAGTGAAGGAGCAGGTGGCAAAGGTGATCACAGAGAGGGGTCTTCCAAGCAGAGGCGACGGTTGTAAAAGAAAAGGAGGAAATGCCATCAGTGAAGTCGCCCTTTCGCCTTTTGTTTTGGGTAATCGAACAGGCATAGTAACCTTGAATTTTCTTGAGACCTCTTTTTCTCCCTCCAAGAAAAACAAGGGAACAATGTATTTCCTTCTAAAAGAGGTTACTGTATTTCATCACATCTAAAGTGTCATCAAGAGCCCGGCTGGTGTGGCTCAGTGGTTGAGCGTCAACCCAGGAACCAAGAGGTCGCTGGTTAGATTCCCAGTCATGGGCGTGCAGGAGGCAACTGATCAATGATTCTCTCTCATCATTGATGTTTCTATCACTCTCTCCCTCTCTGTTCCTCTCTGAAATCAATAAAATATGTTAAATAAGTAAATGAATAAATAAAGTGTCATCACTTTTACGACATCATTTTAGGAATCAATAAGAAAGAAAAATGCTGCCAATTAAACCATAACGTGCATTGATTGTAAGACATTCTCTGGTTTTCGAAATGCTAAAATTGGGGGGAAATATGTGTCTGAGAGTCAATGAAATGGTCAGAATGAATAGATGAGATGGATAGTGGGTGTGTGTGTTTTCTTTTCATTTGACCATTCGTCTTTGATTTCAGAACCGTGGAAGATTTGAAAAATAACGAAAGCCAATGGAAAGATTCCCCCCTGGCAACTAGACACCGTGAAATGCTGAAGCGCTGCAAAACTCAGCTTAAGGTCCGTATCGGTAATTGGGATAAGTATCGACCAGCCTCATGATAGTGTATTTCCCGCAGGATATGTGCCCTGAGTAAGCAGTTTCGTGTCCTTATTTTTTCTTCATTATTCTCCCCCCCCCACCCCCGAGATAAAATGGTGCATCTAAAACTTGTTGGTAGTTCACATGTATCTATATAACATTTAAGCCCCAGGACAAACTATGCTATGCCAACGACATCATGAATTCTTAGTCGATGTTATCATCCTCAGTTTAGCATCTCCTCCCTTTCCCTACCTTGTGCAGTGCCCTCCCCTCCTACTACCCCCAACCCTGCCACCCTGCCCCCAAAGCACACACCATTCCTTCCAGTCATGCGTGTTCTTGGTGTGTGGCAAAGTAGATTCGTGGTCGTGGAAAGATTTCTTTCTTTTGCACCTCCTCATTCTTCATTTCTAATTGAAAATGATCCATCACACAGAACCAACTGTGGATGGGAAGATTTCCGCTTGTGAAACATAAATGAAAAGGTTGTACGAGGGAAGCACAGATAGCAAATTGAGGCATTTTTCTTAGGTTTATATTCAAATTAGAAAGCTGAGTGTCAGCTGATCGTGCTTTCTGCTGATTAGTCTGGCTTGGATTTCTGTCACACGTTAAGGTCATATTTAGTTTTGCTAAGCCACTAGACCCCTTTGAGATGCAGAATAAGGCAGGGGCTCTTGTCTGGGGTCTGCAGAACCCTTAAGCTCTCTAAAGGTGACGCTTCAAGGAGCCCACAAACTGTTTAATATGTCAGTGTGTGCGCATGTGCGTGTGTCTTATTCCCACAGTGATCCTCTGAGGTAGGGGGACAAGCGTTTTCCCCAAAGGCAGCTCATGAGTGGTGCCCTGGAACTCAGATGCAGATTTGTCTGGCTTCTTCCCACTAATCATTCCTGGCCCCCGAAGAGCTCCCCAAGTTACTCAGATGTGACAGCAGTGACCTGCCTCTGAGCTGCGTGCTGGGCTGTGTGTCCAGCGGTCCGTGTGGCATAGCTTTTGTTTTTCTTAGAACACGACCCAAAGCTAGTTAGCGGGGAAGCTCTGGATGCCCCAGCTCCCCTCTCCCGTCCCACCCCGCCCAGCACGCTGCTGAGGCTCAGCTGCCAACTAACCATGGCCGGGCCACACCTGCTTCCACAGAAACTGGTACGATGCAAGGCCTGCGCTGACGCTGGTTTACTTGACGAGAGCTTCCTGCGAAGATGTCTGAATTTTTATGGCCTTCTCATTCAGCTGCTGCTCCGCATCCTGGACCCTGCCTACCCCGAGTGAGTGCGCTCTTCCTCTTTGTCGGGGCTGTGCGGAACGTATTGCTCTTCGCCCACAAGTGGAACCCAAACCCTCCCCTCACCAAGAACTCATTTTTGCCCTGGCCGGTGTGGCTCAGTGGATAGGACGTCAGCCTGTGGACCAAAGTGTCCTGGGTTCCATTCCGGTCAATGGCACATACCTCGGTTGCAGGCTCCTGTCCGGCCCAGGCCCTGGTTAGGGCTCGTGCAGGAGGCAACCAATCGATGTGTTTCTCTTACATTGATGTTTCTCTCTGTCTTTCCCTTTCTCTCCACTCTCTCTAAAATTAATGGGAAAATATCCTCAGGTGATGGTTGAAAAAAATAAAGAATTCATTTTTCAATTTCCAGATTGTGCTTATGTAGAGTATGTAATATTAATATTTTCCCTGTAATTAGTTACAGTAATAAGGGAATGTCAACACCTGCAATTTTAATTTTGACATAGTGCTTTGTAAAAATTGGCTTTATTTTTATCAATCTTTGATTGATAGAAGATGGAATCTATAAGTTGGAAGCTAAAAGCTGGAGATAAGCTTGGCTGGCTTGGCTTAGGGGTTGAGCGTCAACCTGTGAACCAAGGAGGTCACGGTTTGATTTCTGGTCAGGGCACATGCCGGATTTTTGGGCTTGGTCCCCAGTGTGGGGCATGCAGGAAACAACTGGTCAATGATTCTCTCTCATTATTGATGTTTCTCTCTCTCTCTTTCCTTCCTCTCTAAAATCAATTTTTTTAAAAAAAAGCTAGAGATAACATTTTATTGTTGCGCTGAGAGCGTTGTTGATCTTGTATCCTCACCTGTACAGCTTACTGTTCTCATGTTATTGTTGCGAAGCCTGTGCGTCCTGCTGTGGGAGCCCTCTGCAGGCGTGGAAAGTGTTATTGAAAGTGCGGCCGGAACTGTCGTCTCAACTGTGACCTGTGCTTTTTTCTCGTTGACAGTGTAACACTGCCTTTAAGTTCAGACGTCCCCAAGGCGTTTGCAGCATTGCCTGAGTTTTATGTAGAAGATATTGCTGAATTTTTATTTTTTATTGTACAGTAAGTTTCTTTACCATATTACATAGAACTTATATGTTTTTATATGTTTTGTGCATATTCTGTGATTAATTATATTACAAACCTCCATTTTATGCCGGAAGTTTTGTGTCACTGCTTTAACTGCTGCCTGGAGATTAGAAAAATAAATCCAAACTGTGGCACCAGGCCAATTCCAATAATATCTCGGAGGCAAAGAGGATTAACGATGCTGGCAATAATGTCTTCTGTGAAAATGGAGTTGAACTTCTAATGATGGAGAATGTGTTTCTGAGAAACAGGAGCGGTTTATAAATATCTGAGTGAACATTCAAAAGCCAGAAATAACCACATCTATATTTTGTACCAAAATTTTTCTCAATGGTAGAATTGGAGAAAGGTAGCAAAGTAATGGGTTGAGTTTATAACTGGCTTCTTTGAAATGAAAATAACTCTATTAAAATATTTTTTTAGTGTTTGGGTAGTGAAGATCTTTGAAATCCATGTGATGATTTAATCACAGCTTTGGTTTATTTTCTGAAACATAATAAGTTAGTCTACAATGTTGTGGCCAGTAGACATGATGGATTTTAAATCTATCTAGTTATGATATAAATAATCACTTTAAACTCAGCAAATTAAAGGGGACTCAGCATCCCGGCTCCGGGACCTGTTAGCCGCCTCCCCTCCTGAGGACACCAGCGCCCACCCAGGTTGAGACTCAGGGCTTCATCTCGCACTCCTCTTGCCCTTCAGATACTCGCCTCAGGTGCTCTACGAGCCCTGCACTCAGGATATTGTGATGTTCCTCGTTGTGATGTTGTGCAACCAGAACTACATCCGCAATCCGTACCTGGTGGCCAAACTGGTAGAAGTCATGTTTATGACCAACCCTGCTGTTCAGCCACGAACGCAGAAGTTCTTTGAAATGATTGAGAACCATCCTCTCTCCACCAAACTGTTGGTCCCTTCCCTGATGAAGTTTTATACAGGTAGGTTCCTGGGTAGACAGGCCGACAAGGCCATCTAGAGCCAGTGGTGAAGTTACTCTAAACCTGTTACCGAGTGTGCTGACATCCACTAACAGGTGTGGCTCGGTAGCCCACTGGGAGCAGAGCATGTGCTACTGGTTCCCTGAGAATTACGAGTAGTTCATTCTTTTGTTTGTTTGTTTTGTTACCTGAACTTTTAACATTTTCTTCAGTAAACATGCATTGTTAGTGTTAAAACTAAAAAAGTTAATGTTTTGTACCCCGTGCCTGCAGCTGTCACTGGCTTCTGGATTTAAGCGACGGGTGTGTAGGTGTGTGGGATAGAGCTGGGCCTCCCCTGCGAGACCAGTGCTGGGCCTGGCCGGGCCCCACTGTTCAGGTCCCAGGAGCTGGCGGGCGGTGTTCTTCTCCCTCCCCTCCCACCAGGCAGTGTCCCCTCTGGCCCTGGACACCTCTGTGGTCATGGACAGATGATACCCTTGCTAAGAATAGCCATCACTTATTGAATCCTCACTGATCCTTGCACTTAATCCCAACCACAGGCCTCAAGATGGGCGCTATAAATATCTCCATTTTACAAGTGAGGAAACCGGAGCTTAGAAAGGTCAAGAAGCTTGCTGAAGGTCAGCAGCTAGCGAGGCAGCAACCTCGGCAGCTGGGCTGTAGCACAGGTGCTCCTGGCTTCTGTGCTGTGCCTCCCACGGTTACCAAGGCACTGGCGCCGGAGGGCCTGCAGCGGGGCATCGCACACACTCCCCGAATGCCCAGCAGGTCCTCACCCCTGAACACGCCTGCCTCTCAGGAATGTGAGAGACTGAGATACAGAACAAGCACCTTTTTGCACCCCAGGAAGAATAGCAGCGGTTCTCAACCTGTGGGTCGCGACTCCTTTGGCGGTCAAACGACCCTTTCACAGGGGTCGCCTAAGACCATCCTGCAGATCAGATATTTACATTACGATTCATAAAAGTAGCAACATTATAGTTATGAAGTAGCAACAAAAATAATTTTATGGTTGGGTCACAACATGAGGAACTGTATTTAAAGGGCCAGAAGGTTGAGAACCACTGGAGAATAGGCTAGCTTAGGAAATTCTTAAGATCAAATTTTTGTTTCAAAAGGAAAGTTCATTTTCAAAATAAGAGTATTTATTTGTAAGGACCAGCTCTCAAAAGTCTGCTACTCAGAACTTAGAGGGACTCTGATGACTTATTTCAAGACTCCTCTTCCCAGGCCGATCTAGTCAGCAAGGCCATCCTTAGCCCAAGTAGACCAGGCACTGATGCAGCACGTGCGTTTGAAGCTCCTGTGTGTCGGGCTGGTTCTGATGCTCGGGCCAGCGGTGAAGATGGCACAATCCCTGCCACCCTGGGTCAGACGTTCTAGGTGGGAGACAGATGCTGACCCATATACTCTCATAGTGGGGGGGGCGGGGGGGGGCGGAGCGTGGTGCTACTTTGAGAAGCTAGGCAGGGAGGGTCGCTGAGAAGAAGACTTGGAGTAACCTTGAAAATGAGACAAAAGAGTGAGTCTTAGGAGATCTCAGCCACTGTGACAGGCGAAGGAGGCAGCAGGTGTAAAGGCCTGAGGCCGGGCAGCTTAATGAATCTGGTAAGAAAGCAGCCAGAGAGTGCAAGGGGGGATTGCAGCCAGCAAGCGGGCAGGGTGAGGTCAGCAGGTGTCTGGTTGTTTTAGTCACAAAAAATGTATTGGAAAATACAGAAAATACCAAGAAGAAAATAAAAGTCATTGATAATCCCTGCACTCAATAGAGAATCTAGGAACATTTTTCTCCGTATCCTTCCAGTCAGTTTATATATGACACGTGTGTCTTTCTTTATTAGATGTCGAGCATACCGGAGCGACCAGCGAGTTCTATGACAAGTTCACCATTCGCTATCACATTAGCACCATCTTTAAAAGCCTTTGGCAGAACATAGCTCACCACGGCACCTTCATGGAGGAGTTCAAGTGAGTACTGCGCCCCCAGTGTCACTGCTTGCTCTCTTGCAAAGCACAGGGAGAGGGGCTGCTTCAGAGCCTTCACAGCCGGCTCTTGGCTGTGTGCTTGGTCTCAGCCTGCTTTAAGTTTCCAGAAGGTACTGCCGAACGTGAGAAGGTCATCTAAATGTCTGTGCCTACGAGACATTGCTGGACTCTAGGTTGGTCACGGTACCTTGGGGATGGCACACATAAGGAAAGAATCACAGTTATTCTGAGATGATGTGTTAAGTGTTTCGTGATTACCATGTTAAAGGCGGTTGTCGGAATGACTGCAGCGAGATCTTACTGTGTTCCTGAACATGATACCAAGCTGCAGAGCTGGGAATGTTCGGAGGAGTTGAGATTCAGAAGCAGTTAGATTAGGGTTGTCATTTGAAGTGTCGTTCTTTGCATTTGTAGTAAGGCTCTAACCAGCGGTGCTCAACCTGTGGGTCTCGACCCCTGAAAATGCATCCTGCATATCAGATATTTACATTACGATTCATAACAGTAGCAAAATTACAGTTATGAAGTAGCAACGAAAATAATTTTATGGTTGGGGGTCACCACAACATGAGGAACTGTATTAAAGGGTCGTGGCATTAGGAAGGTTGAGAACCACTGCGAGTAAGGCCTTTTCATTAGCCCCCTGAAATTTTAGCACCTACCTGAACCTGACATTAGTAATTCCATCTAAATTACTTTGGAAAGAAAGGTAGGCAGGAAGGTTGAACTCTCGCCTTACTCTCCAGGAGAAGTTTTATCCCATCTACTTGGACCTTTTTTTGCAGCCCCCGTTAGATCTTTGATCAGGTCTGGCGGTCACTCATTCACTGATTACGAGTCAATAATGTCCGTATTTCCAGTGGAGTCACCATCTGCTAAATAGCTTGCTGCAAAGGAAACTGTGAGGTAGTTCTTTGTTTCCATGAACTGCTCTTCTGGTCAGAATTATGTTCCAGCGGAAGCCTGGCAGCGGCGTAGGAAACCAGGCAGGCCCACAGCTGGTTCTGCGTGGGGCTCGGGAACTTTCCACGTTCCTGGAGTCCAGACTCCGACCTTGTCAAGGGAGCTTCTGTGCCCCAGGCTGGGCTGGCCGGCCCTGATGCTCGGTGGGCGGTCCTGAAGTGTAGCCCTCCTCTCTCTACTAACCTTCCAGAGCCTAACAGGTAGGCCAGGCCGTCTCTGCCACCAGCGAGTCCCTGCATTAGAACAGGTGACAGGACAGTGCTATGGGCTGGGAGCTTCGAGCTCTCTGTAGCAAGTTAATGGCCCACTCTATCAGTGTTACAGCTTCCAGTTTTTCTTTTTTTATTGATTTTTGAGAGAGAGGGAGAGAGAGAAACATTGATCGGCTGCCTCCTGTACGCCCCCTACTGGGGATCGAGCTCGCAACCTGGGCATGTGCCCTGACCTGGAATCGAGCTGTGACCTCCTGGTTCCTGGGCCAGTGCTCAACTGCTGAGCCACGCTGGCTAGGCTCCAGTTTTCCTTCAGTGCGTCTTCTTTATAATGGGAATAGCTGTCAGTCGTTCTCTTGTCTCTTAAAGGTGGGTAATTATTTGTGCTTTCTTTATCCTGGCAAATTTAAGCATGTTTTTTTCCTAGTCTGGAAGAGTGTTTTCTCTGCTTAATATCCTTGAGGGAATGAGCCAGGGGTGTGCTGGTAAACCTTCTCTCTGAAGGGAAAAGGTATCAGTATGTCCTGGTTTTCTGGAGTATAAATACGTCCACTGTTGCCAAATGTAAGCTGCCACGGGAATCTGCCCAGAATAGAATTCTAAAATATTAGCAGTTGGCTCTCAGGAGTCGTGCAAGGTGTCTCCAGCACGTTACTGGGTGAGCTCATCACAATTCATTCCAAAGGGCAACACAGTCTAAGGAGAGACTTGTAGGCCTTGACCTTCATGGTATTCAAGTTGTGCCAAGGTCTTGTAGGGCGACATGCGTGTAGGGCGACATGCGTGGCCCTCTTCTCTGGGATCTGCTGCAGTGTTTCGGTGGAGGGAGATGTGTGACCATGTCCGTGTAATTGCCTTTTCAGCTCTGGGAAGCAGTTTGTTCGCTATATAAACATGCTGATCAATGACACGACGTTTTTGCTCGATGAAAGTCTGGAGTCCTTGAAGCGGATCCACGAGGTGCAAGAGGAGATGAAGAACAAAGAACAGTGGGAGCAGCTGCCCCGGGTGAGCACAGGGGCGGGCACAGCCTGGCGGGAAGCTGCCTCGGCCCCCGCGGGGCTGCGTGTGGGGCCTGTGCCGGAACTCTGACTTCTCATCAGTGCGTCCTTCCTCCCACCTGTGGGCTTCCATGATGTTACATCCAAGGTTTGGGGCAGGAGAAAACTTAAACACTTGCTCTGAAGCTAAGAAGTGAGTTACCAAGTCTTCCTGGTGTCTAGAACTTGGGCCTTTTCATTTTAAAGGGCTTTTTGGAGAAGAGTTTTATTGTCTGAATATGTTATTAAGATTTATGAAAGTAACTAGGAGTAAATCTCAAATTCTGTCCGAGAGACAAGAATGTCATGTGATCTTTAGGCATCTGGGTGATCACTCAGGGTTCTAGTGGGGCTTTTCTTTCCATTGATCTTCGCTTTTCTATTCAGTTACTAGTGGAAAAGAGGCTGTTTTGTCAGGTTCCGTGAGGAAATCATGTCTTGCCTCCGACGGCCCACTGCCCCGCCCGACATGCACTGCAACCATGTGGATGGTCCCCGCTCAGTTGCCAGGCCCTTGCCAGCTACTGCTGACGTCATGTTTGACGTCTGGTTGGCCTCCCCCATCAGTGTCGCTGCAAAGTCTCAGCTTTGTCTACTCTAGTGTGTCATCCACTTATGAGGCTTCTCCTGGACCAGCGTGTATTGTAGATGCTGGGATATGGGTCTTTGCACGTCATCTTCTTCACAGTCAGTGCTTCATAGCACTTGTTTGAGACGACTGAACAGATAGCATTGATTTTGTCCGTGTTAATGGGTGGAAAAGGGCCATAAATAATCCCTAACAAGTGCAATTTCAGAAATCATTTCCGTTTGACTTTGAAGTCACTTCCCAGCTTCCCCCTCCCTGCCTGCTCCTCGCCTCCCCACCCCCAGCGCTCCGGTGCCCAGCCCCCTGGCTGCTCCTCTCTCCACACTTACTCCCTAGGTCAGTGTTTTCTCAGGGTGCTGGTTGGTATTTTGAATGTAGTAGAATTTTGATATAATAATAACTCTGTATTATGAACGACTGTCCCACACACTGCAGGACATTTAGCATCTCTGGCTCACGCCCATGTAATGTCAGTGATGGGCCCTCCTCCCTGAGTCTGCAGGCAGCGAGAAACGGCTGCGCGTGGCCTGGTGCCCCCGTTGAAAATCACTGCTGGGTGATTTCCTCTGTCCCAAGCCTTGAAATGTCTGTATTCTGAGGATTCCAGAATGTGCCTTCCCGGCTCAGGTCTCTCCTGACTCCATAACCGCTGTTGACCTGCCTCTCTGCCAGGTGGTCTCTTGGAGAACTCAGACTTAACTTGTCTCAAGTGAACGCTGTGTAGCCTCCAGACCTCGCCAGGTCTGCCCACTCTCGGCAAACGACAGCTGCACCCTGCAGTTGCCCTGGCTCAGCACCCCCGTGTCATCCTTCATTCCTCTCCCTCTCAGCAGAACCTCTAGGCTCCATCTTTTTGTTGTTAATCTTCACCCCAGGGTGTGTGTGTGTGTGTGTGTGTGTGTGTGTGTGTGTGTGTGTGTTTTAAGAGATTTCAGAGAGAAAGGGAAAGGGAGAGAGAGATAGAAACATCAATGATGAGAGCGATTCATCAGTTGGCAGCCTCCTGTAGGCCCCCTACTGGTGATCGAGGCCGCAACCCGGACCCTTCAGTCCGCAGGCTGATGCTCTATCCTCTATCCACTGAGCCAAACCAGCTAGGGCCACCTGAGGATATTGATTTTTAGAGAAGAAGGGAGAGAGAGAGAGAGAGAAAGAAAAACATTGATGTGAGAGAGACATATCAATTGGTTGCCTCCTGCACGTACAGAACCCACAGGTCTCAGTATCATATCACATGTTTTTAAAGTAATGCTAAGTAAAAGTCTTTATTAGGGGAAATGAACATGTATCAGACATGACAAGATTCACTCATTTCATCCAGCGAAGAAGTTGATGGTGATTTCTTTTATCACAAAGGGAACTGAGTCTGTGTAAGTTAAGTGATGTGCCGAGGTCGCCTGACTCAAAGTCCTAACGAGTTCGATGCGGACAGGACAAGCTTCAGTGATCTGGAGGGTTCCCTGGGGTGGGCTGTCCTGTCATTCCCTAAGGACGTTGGCTTCTCGATGGCTTTTCCACTTAGGGGCTGACTATTTTCCTCTCACTTGCGTGTCGGTGAGCTGATGACTAGTCCTGAGATTTGTTTGGCCTCTGCTCACTTTTCCCAGGACCAGCAGCAGGCCCGGCAGTCCCAGCTGGCTCAGGACGAGCGGGTGTCACGCTCCTATCTTGCCCTGGCAACGGAAACCGTGGACATGTTCCACATCCTCACGAAGCAGGTCCAGAAGCCCTTCCTCAGGCCAGTGAGTAGAGACTTTGGGGGCTTTGTTGTGTCTGTTGGATTCCACGTTCAGATTCGGTCACTTGTAACTAAATGGAGTCTGGAAGGTTCAGTGTCACAGTCACTGACGAGGGAAATTCTGTTACTGATTTTCCCCACTTAGGCTCATTGATACACACAGCGTCGTTGATAGACTGAAGTCCACAAGTGGTCGCTTCCAAGTTAACTTAGGAACTCACTTTCTGCTTAGACAGCACTTTGGGTTGTTAATGTTGAAGCTGTGACGTATTTTTATCATTATTGATTCCTGTATTTTATTTATAGGAAAAGTAAGGTAGCATCAATTGGAAATTAGAGACTATTAAGTAGAAGTAGTTGATAATGATCTTTGATTCTCTTAGGTGTAGCTTTGTGACAGTCAAGAAGCCAAAGGTTAATGAGAGCCATCATTAGGTTTATGATAGATCCAAGGTTGTCAAAATGTTTGGCCTTGACATGAAGCATAAGACCTCGTCCTGTTTCTGAAATTGAAGCTGAGCGACATCAGTGAAGATCTCTGCTTTGCTGCACTTGAGCCCCCTTCCCTCCCAACACGGTTTAGGAACTTCATGGTGTGGCCAGGACAAAGGGTCGGGGGAAGGCAAAAAAGAGGCTTAAACTTTACCTGTAAATGCAGACAGGAAACAGTTAGGCATGTGGACCACATGGTCTCTGCCGCAGCCACTCAGCCTGGCCCTTACCCTGCAAGAGCAGTCGCAGCCAGTGCACTTCAGAAACTACAGAAACAGGCGCCAGGCCGGCTTTGGCCACGGCTGGTAGTTTGCCAGTCCCTGCTGTGACCGTGTTTGGTTTCATGTTTGGTGAGCCCAAGGGCAGTGCCACTGATAGTAAAAAGGTAGGAAACATAAAAACGATTGAAGACTAAATTAACATGAAGCCATATTTAGTTCCATAGTCTTCACTTTTCAAAGGAAAATATCGAAAGCTAAGCCTAGTCTGTTCATGTCCATTGAAATGAACTTGTTTCAGGGCCTGCACATAGACCGGGGCTGTCCACACGCCTGGGCTGGTCTTCTGCCCGGTCCGTGCCTGTGCCTGCTTTGCTGTGTCCTTTTCCTTCCCTACACAAAACTCCCACTTCCAGAGGCAAACAGATTTCCAACTCTCCTATGCTTCTCCCTCCGTATCCCACAGGTTCCTCATTAAATACCGGAGTATTTTACTTTCTGCAAAAGCCAGTTCCTGAAAAGCAGGTTCCTGCGCTAAGTTGAATTTGTGTAAATCCAGTCATTGCATTTAATGGAAGCCTTGCACCCGAAGGGGAGCTTTCAGAGCGCCTTGTTCAGGGCCAGCGTTTGCTCCTACCCTCTCGCAGCCAGATTCCCCTGTTTCCGGTTTGCTTACAGCAGAGCGTGCCCAACAGTAGTAGGTGCTGTGTCCCCTCGTGGGGTTATTGCATGATTGCTTATTCCAGCTGTTTCGCTTACGTTGGCTCTGTCTTTCTGGCTAAATTTAAAACTGTTCAGACATAAGTTTTATCTTCTGCTTCTGTGCATTTCTCTCCTCTTTGCGCCTGATAGGTGAAGAACGGTGTGCACTGCCTGAACTGCCAGGGACTTTTGAAATTTATACAAAAGTAAAACATAAAACGATGGCCTACAGAGCATATTCAAAAACTTATGACTTGTGTTATGATGATGGAATTACGAATAATTTTCCCTCTTTTACAAATTTAGAATGATCCTTGTTTTTATAAGTAAAAGAATGAATTTATAGAAAAGGTTGCCTTTTGTTGGTATTTATAAATATTCCCTAACTTACAACATTCTATTAAGTATTAGAATGATGGGATTGGAAATGGAGAGTAAAAAATTTTGAATATAGTGTTTTTCTTCAGCTGATCATTCACAGCACTTACCAGGGATTCTTTGAAGATGAATCCAGCCAATTCCTGTCGCGCCACTGAAATGGGAGTTTTTGGTCCTTCTCACTGGTCTCAGCAGCATGAATTGTCCTTTTATCCTGTGATTTCCTAGGAACTTGGACCCCGATTGGCTGCAATGCTGAACTTTAATCTTCAGCAACTCTGTGGTCCCAAGTGCCGTGACCTGAAAGTCGAAAACCCCGAGAAATATGGCTTTGAACCAAAGAAGCTGTTGGACCAACTGACGGATATTTACTTGCAGCTGGATTGTGCGCGGTTCGCTAAAGCCATCGCTGACGACCAGGTCAGTGCCGGGGTCCCTGCCGTTCCAGAGGGAGTCTGGGGTCAAGCTGCTGCCTGGCAACTTGAGTTTGCTGTTCTGGATTTCCTGGCAGATCCGTGCAATGACATAGCCATCTGTTCCTGAATTCCCCACTTGAAATTAAGGAAGGTGATACTTTTCAAAATATGGTTTGAGACATTTTTAGTGCGTAAGTGGAAATCATGAGCACGGCGCCCAGGGGACTTGTCTGCTGTACATGGAGATGAAGTGGCTGTTTTCCTTCGGGCGTAAAAGGCAATATTAGGCTCCCAGGTCCACCTCCAATTGCGGTCTGGACGCAGATCTAGCTCGGGGCTTCATTCCACAAGTCCGTGACCTTCCCAGAAAGAGCCCTGTTTTCTCGGGGAGCCACGTTGTCGTCCCAAAGCCTCAGCTTTAGTGCTGCCTTCACTTTGGTCTTCCAGGCTTCAACCCTCGATGGTTATTTTCACATTCTTCCCTCCCCTTCTCCCTGTGTCCCTGTGACCACATCCGGCTTGTGTTTCTCGTTTCCATGGCTCCCGACGTAGCCAGTCCCAGCTGTACCCTGGACTTCCAAGTCATTTCCTCCCTCCTCTTCTCGCTCCTGCACCATTTGAACATAAAATAACTAATTCTTATTAACTGAACACCAGGTTTACCCACTTTCCATGTTTTCACTTCTTTGATCCTCACAAAATCCTATGATACAGGTTTAGTTAGATTCCTCCTTTTGAAATGAGGCACCGAGAGATCGTGTAGCTTGTGTGAAGTTAGTGGGGGTAGAGCAGGATCCAGAGCCTCCCTGAGCCCCTGATCTCAACCCTCTGCTCTCCACTTATAATGCCCCAAAGTTCCCTGCTCGTTTCTGTCTCCCCATCTCTGTTCACACTTTTATCCAATTACAACTCACATCTCAGTTTAACCATCGGTAAGCCTTCTAGAAGGTTCCTCACCCTTACCTCATCCAAAGGTTAAAATGGGGGAAATGTAAGTACTTTTTAAAAATAACAGCTTTATTGAGATATTACTCACGTATGTAAGTACTTTATTCTCACCACATTTACCTTTAGGAAAAAGAGCTAAAATTTCTACCGTCTCTCATGCTGCTAGAGCACAGTGCCTTGCCAGGGCTGAAATAGACTCGATTTTTCTCTTTAATATTTAAATTTAAAAAGAAATGCAGGCTTGCTGTAAAAGTAATTCAGATATTTCCAAATTCCCCTCGTTTGCCTTAATCCTGAAGCCCTCCCAGGAGGTGATGACCTTGTACAGTTTGGTGTGTACTATCCCATCTTTATGTATTTACTAGAGGCCAAGTGCATGAATTCCTGCACGAGTGAGGTCCGGCCAGCCCAGCCCCATTGGGGTGGATCGGGGCCAGGCCTGTCGGGAGGAGGAGACGGCAGGAGGTTGGCCAGCTGGCCCTCCCCAATCGGGGTCCCATCAGGGCCATGCCAGCTGGAGGAAGGGGTCGAGGGTGATTGGCCGGTGGGCCCCGCCCCCAATTTAGGGGGGTGATTGGGGGCGGGAGGGGCTGTGAGCAGTTGGCTGGCCAGCCCCACCCCTGATTGGTGTGGGGGGACGATCGGGGGCGGAGCTGGCTGGGGGGAGGGGCCACGGGCTGATCAGGGGTGGGGCAAGCCATGGGGAGGGGCTGTGGGTGGTGGGCTGGCTGCCCTGCCCCTGAATGGTATGGAAGGCACCAATTGGGGGCTAGTGGCCTGGGGGAGGGGCCATGGGTGGTTGGCTGGCCAGCCCTGCCCCTGATTGGAGTGTGGGGGCTGATCGGGGGTGAAGCTGACTCGGGGAAAGGCCGCAGGCCGATCAGGATGGTCAGAGCCCATCGGGGGAGGGGCCCCAGGCAGTTGGCCTGCAGCCCTGCCCCTGATCAGGGTGGGGAGACCTATCTGGAGTGGGCCCGGGCAGGAGGAGGGACTGCAGGAGGTTGGCCGGCCGCCCTGCCCCCTATTGGGGTTTGAGAAGCTGATCAGGGATGGGGCCGGTTGCAGGGAGGGGCTGGGGGAGGTTGGCTGGCCAGCCCCACCCCCTGATCAGGCTGGTTCGCTGGCTGCAGGGGGCGTCATAGTGACCGGTCATTCTGGTCGTTACGGTGTTCCGGTCGCTGGCTTTTTATATATATAGATAGTCATGTAAAAGTATTTGTGTATACATGTTATAATTTTAGGACTTTTTTAGAAAATACGCACACAAATAGATCATACTTCTTCTGCAGCTTGCTTTTCCCCACTTACACTGTATTTACATTTTACATTGCTTTCCTCATCCACAGAGATCCTACAGCAAAGAGTTGTTTGAAGAAGTTATTTCGAAGATGCGGAAGGCGGGGATCAAATCCACAATTGCGATAGAGAAGTTTAAACTCCTCGCCGAGAAGGTGGAGGAGATAGTGGCCAAGAACGCGCGCGCCGAGATCGACTACAGCGACGCTCCGGACGAGTTCCGAGGCAAGTGGCCGCTTTCCTCCTGCCCAGTCCTTTGACCTGAGTTCACTGGAAACAGTAACGGTAAAAGGACGGACGTTCTGTGCTTCCAGCTTGCTCCTGGTGTGCTGTGGTTGCTTTTGAGACCCTGTGTCTGAAATGGCATCTGCCTGCTTTTAGCTCATATTGTAAATTAAAAGAGGAGAAAAGCTCCTTAGCCTGATTTCAAACCAGGTAAAACCCCGAAGATTCTAAGGCCGCTTCGCCTTTCCAAGTGGGGATTAGCGTTTCCAAAGCATCCCGGGAAGTCCAGACGAAAGCTGTCTGGCCCAATCCTTTTCTCTCTTCTTTCCTCCCAGCGGTAGCTGATAAAAGGTCACTTTCCCTCGAAACCTGGGGCCCATTTGGTTGCTATTCTTATGGACATCTGTTTTATTTTTCCCTGTTGGCCGGAGCGGCTTCGTTTTGTTTCCGGTTGTAGGTCCTATTCGGTTAGAAGTTGCTCTGCTCTGTCTCTGTAGACCCTCTGATGGACACCCTGATGACTGACCCCGTGCGGCTGCCCTCCGGCACCATCATGGACCGCTCCATCATTCTGCGGCACCTGCTCAACTCCCCCACGGACCCCTTCAACCGGCAGACGCTGACCGAGAGCATGCTGGAGCCAGGTACGGGGTGCACGGCTGGGGGGCGGTGCCTACAGCAGCAACAAATGTGGCGGCCAAAATCCACAGTGTTGGAGATTAATCAAAGGTGGAACTTATCAAATCCAGAAACTCTCCCTAGTCTATAACACTTAGTGGAAAAGACACGAAGCATTCCTTGTTCTTTTTCACTGTAGAAGTCTAGTCCTTCTCATGTCCTGCTGCTTTCTTCTTCAGTCTTCATTGCACTGAGCAAATGAATGGCCTTTCTTTCCATTTATACCAACGACGAGCATCATCTCTCTGAAAAGCCCTTCCATCAAGGCATTAATCCTTCCCTTTTCTTTTCTCAGTGCCAGAACTGAAAGAACAGATTCACGCCTGGATGAGAGAGAAGCAGAACAGTGATCATTAAACGTCCCTCGCCCACCCTCTGCTCGCAGCAGCCACGGCCGGCGAGGCAAGCAGAAGCAGCATCGGTGGTGAAATGCTCTTCAAATGTGGAGGCCAGGCGTGGCGAAGACACCGAGAGCCCCCCCAACGCGACCAAGCGGTGGCCATCTGCAAGGACATGAACGAGAAGGAGCCCAATTCCTGTATATATATTTAAGTGACAAAACTGGTCAAAAGCGTGAGGGACACACTGATTGATTGCTGGTGTAATGCAGCACGTCCTTCGTATGTCACAATTTGGGGCTTTTGCAGCGGAAGTTTTTTAGTGATTGATAATGAATGGGTTTGGGCAGCATCCCCTCCATCTTTTTTTTTTTTTTTTCTAAATCCAATCTCCATTGATTTAATTGTGATTAGAGAACCTTGGACATTTTGCTGCTAAAGAATCTTTCCCCTTCCCTTCCTCTCCTGCCCCTACATGCACTGCTGTGGATTTTTTTAAGAGAAACGAAAACAAAAATAAATTCCTTTCCCTGGCTCTCCAAACATATATTCTGTGAGATAACTGTGCCTGCAACAAAGTGTTAATCCTGGGATCGTATTTTTATATCATATTCACATACTTGTTTTTTTAATTGGTGTTAGATGACATGATTAATAAAAAAGGCAAGATATTTTCAGAATTTGAATTTCAGTTTTTATTTTTATTTTGAAATGGCCCTTAAAATTTTTTTTTTTTTAATTCTAAGCAAAATGAAGAGAATTCTGTTGCTCTGGTCCTTGTCATAAACCCTCTCTAGGAACCTAAGGAGCAGCTGCAGCAAAGGGAATGCTTAAGTCTATCAGGATTAAATGACTTAGGGTTTGGGGGGAAGGGAGGTTGGTGTTTTTAATGCTTCGTGACAGTTTGAAACCTTTACAGTTATCCTATGAGGAGGGTCCATAAATTCCTCAACTCTTGGGTCTGTGAGTTCAAGGCAGGGGTCATGTACATGATGTGTCCTTTGGGGCTTGGCCTTACCAAAGCAAAAAAGGGGTGCCAGAAATGTGGAGAGATGTCTGCTTGTAAAAACACACACAGGCAAACACCCACACACGCGCACAAAAACATAAGACTTTTTGTATTACCGCTCCCTACTTAACATACTTGAATTCTCGAATTTCCTTTGGGGTAAAAAAGGATTTGAAACCATAAAGTGTTTTTGAAGAAATTAAGTCTACAAAAACTTTCTTTTTCTTTTCCTTTTTTCCCCCCTCCCCTCCACAGACAATGTCTTCTGTTCATTTCCTAATGCAAACTACAATAAATGGTGATACACATTTAGAAGGCATCTTCTTTGAGTCTCTTCTTTTTGTGGAAAATAAAGGGGTGGATAAACAACAAGAGCTAAATGAGTGTGTCTGTGGTGCGTTATCTCCCCTGGAACCCTTAGGAGTGGCTGTGTTTGAAAGAAAACATTGGGATTTGTGTGAGTTGATGCTCCATTTGGTTCTCATTCCACTGTCTGCTTGTCTGAGGGGGTTGAGCTTTAACATCTTGTCTCTGCCGTTCTCAAGTTGCTCCCTTATCTAAAATATCTGCCGAAACCGGTTTGGCTCAGTGGATAGAGCGTCGGCTTGTGGACTGAAGGGTCCCAGGTTCGATTCCGGTCAAGGGCATGTACCTGGGTTGCAGGCACATCCCCAGTAGGAGATGTGCAGGAGGCAGTTGATCGATGTTCCTCTCTCATCGATGTTTCTAACTCTCTATCTCTCTCCCTTCCTCTCTGTGGAAAATCAATAAAATATATTTAAAAAAAAAAAATATCTCTCCCCTGACCTTTAAAGTTCTTACTCAAGTTCAACCCATTTCATAAGCATTTTCTCAGGCACTGCAGTATATAAAGCCGTATCTCCCAGCTCATGTGACAATACAGGGAGCACTTATATAGCATTGACTGGGTGCCAGGCACTATCCAAAGGCCTTTCTATTAATGATTTCATCCTCAAGAAGACGGTACTGTTATCTTTGTTTTGTTTTTAAACAGGTCAGATGTGGTCGTGGAGAGGTTAGATAACTTGTCCAAGGTTACCTGGCTGGTTAGTGGAAGAGCAGGTGTCCATGCCCTTAGCCACCATGTCCCCTTCTAGTTTAGCACGTTTGGACTAAATCACGTTTCTTCCCCACC